TAAAACAATTGAAATGCTAAAAGAGAGGAGAGAACGCTTACAAACTATTTTAGTTGTTAGGTTTTATTTTTTTAGTTTTGGGCGGATTCAGTTGGATGGATGCTGTGTTATCTGTTTAATATGTAGCTATAAACTACCGTTAGTCAATTAAGTTGCCACAATACTTACAACAACATCAACTATCAGCAGCAACAGCAAAATGACCAATAAATGCGTTTGCGTTGCATTTTTGTACATTATACAATAATAACAAATCCATAAAATAAATCTAAAAAAGTATATACATACATATATATTCATAGTTATAATATTAAATTAATGCAAACAAACAAAAAATAAGAAGAGAATGATAAAAAAAAATGCAAAACAAAACAAATCATACATTTCTGACATTGAATGTTTATATTTAATAATTATTTAAACTTTTCTTTCATAGTCTATAGTCGTTTTTTAAATGCTTAAGCTTAAGTTACTCTCACATAACCTAAAATGAGAACAAAACAATTTATAAATATATAAACAACGTATTGAACAGAATGAGACACAAAAACAAACAAAACTCAAAAAAACTAATCATAATCGCACACAATTTAATAATATGTTTTTAGTAGATCGTTCTCAGATAAAACAAATATAAATTGGAAAAAAGCAAACAAAAAAATACAAATATAAAAACAAATGCGATACGTGAAACTTGAAATGTGTTTTTATTTTAATTAAAATTGGTTTGAATTCAGAGAACTGCGCGCAATCACTGGCGCTATAAGTTGTTGGCGTTGCCACCTGTTAGCGTTCTGCATCAATTATTGGATCGATTGCTGCCAGCTGGCGATCGCGATAACCTGTTGCTTTGCCGATTGTTTTGTTAAGTGCAACACTGCACCATTGCAGAATTGCTGATTATTATTATTTTTTTATTAAGTTTATTTTTATAATTTGAACAGTAGTACAAAACATTGCATGGACTTTAAATGGCAGCATACCCTCGTGATGATCAAATGAAATGGTACCACGGCCGCTTAACACGCGAGGCCGCCGACGATTTATTAAAACAAGGTGCGTAGTAGGAAAAAAGACATGCCTATGTGTATGTAGAAGACTCGCCCTATTGTAAGAAAATTCAATTTGTTTATTTTAATAATTGTCACAGGTTACGAGGATGGCACATTTCTGGTGCGGGAGAGTAGCACGGCAGCTGGCGATTTTGTATTGAGTCTGCTCTATCAGGTAAATGACGCACGATAACAGTTAAGCTAATATAGGTAGCGCGACTAACAGATACCCTATATGCAAGTCCCTTGCTACTATATGACATATATGACATTAATCTAAAATGTATTTTGTTGCATTAAAAAGCTCATATTATTACGTAAAGATTAGTCAACATAACCACTAGTCTATGTACAGGGTATGACAGCAGGTTGTTTTTATGCATGTGAATAATTTATTACACATTTTTTGCAGGGCGAGGTCTGTCACTATCAAATCCGACGTCACGGCGAAGATGCCTTCTTCTCTATCGATGACAAGGGACAAACGAAGATATTGCATGGATTGGAGACTTTGGTAAAATACTATCAGCAGGAGCCAAACGGATTGATTACGAAACTAGCACAACCACTCATTGGTGATCCACCGCCACCTAATACTCGAAGCCAGGGCGTGACAAATCTGCTGCACCGTGCCACCAGCAAGAATGAGAGCAAGGTGGTCATTGAACTACTGAAGTGCGGTAATCGCAACTTCGATGCAAAGAACAAGGATGGCCAGACGGCGCTGCATCTGGCTGCTATCAATTGCAATGAGGGCATACTGAAGTTGCTACTGGATGCGGGCGTCCAAGTGAATAGCTCAGATTCGTTCGGCTGGCAGCCTTTACATGTAAGTATGGCATTATAATCCCAATACGCCACTAAACTATTGTCTACTCTTGCAGTATGCCTGTCGCAAGAAGGATGCCAGCTTCATACGCACCTTGATAGCCGCAAACGCGAACGTGCAGTGCCGTAACATTGAGAATGGCCATGTGCCGCTGCATGAGGCTGCCAAGTATGGCAATCTAGAAGCGGTGCAGGAGCTGCTGGCCGCACATGCTCCACTGCTGCCACGGACCAGCGCTGGCGAGTTTCCCTTCGATCTGGCCAAGGAGGCGGAACAGACGGTAGTCGAGCAATATCTGCTTAACTACAAGCTGCCGCCAGCTAACACGAGTCGCGATCTGTGGTATCATGGCACCTTGAAGCGCGACGAGGCAGTGGCCATACTCAAGAACTATGCCCAACAGCATGCGCGAGATAAGCAGGCTGCCACAGATCAGCCGCTGGACACCTCCGGCTATTTTCTGGTGCGTTACTCTGAATCACCGGCAGCATCGGGCTATGTCTTAACGCTGCTCGGCGATCAGGTGGTCAAAAACTTTCTCATCTCACAAGCGGATCTCTATCAGAACGGTAACAAGCTGACCTCGAACGGAGTAAGCAATTCGATTTACTCTTTAAATATAATTAATTAATGAATTCTCCATTTGTTCGGCAGTCAAAATATATGTACATAGATGATGGCCCCTATTGGCCTAGCTTGGAGCACTTAGTGGCGCATTATATGCGCTTCTCTTACGGCCTGCCCGTGAGCCTAAAGCATCCTGTGCCACCGCAGCCCAAGCCGGAGCTGCCATCGTTTGCCACCATACCACGTCCCACACACAAGTTACGTGAAAATCCACCAATCAGTCCCCTTCCTAGCAGCTCCAATAAGCATCCACCTGCCTTGACCATGACAAAAAAGAAGCAGAAAGAGAACAGCAACTCCATGTTTAATACGCTGCGCATCGTAAGCCCCAAGAAGAGTCTCTTCGACATGAACAGTCTGCGCAAGAGCAAAACGAAGAACAAGCGCAGCGATTCGGAGAGCAGCGTCAGCCTGGTGGCAGCAGCCGAGGAACTCCAGGCGGCAGCACCAATGCTAAAGAATCTCTCCTTCTCAACGGATTTCAGCAATTTCAATGTGGATGCGGGTGATGTGTACAATGTGCCGCGGAACAATACGCCCATCGATCTGCCACCCATTGCCAACAAGACTGAGGACGAGGTGGACTACTACACCAAAAGCGATGTGGCCATTGAGAGGGAACGTCCCGCTGCACTAACATCCAATGGCTATTTGCCTACTACAGATGTACACATGCTGCTGGACCAGGAGGTCAAGCAATTGGATGGCAAACATATGTTACGCTTGGACTCTATAATATCCACTGGCTCCACGGAGAGTGAAATGGCCAGCTATCTGCAGCGAAAGTGCAGCGGAGCCGGTGCTGGAACAATTGGATTAAGCAGCGCGGAGCTGGAGGCAGCAAAGCAACGGTTCTTTATAAACCGCGACCAACTGGAGCTAGAGAGCGAGATCGGTGCCGGCGAATTCGGTTCCGTCTACAAGGGTTGGCTGCGACAAGCGAATGGCCATCGTTTGGAGGTGGCAATCAAGACACTGCGCGACGAGGAGCAGCAGACAATCAACAAGCAGGAGTTTCTGCGCGAAGCATCTGTGATGATGCGACTGGCGCACAAGTGCATTGTGCGTCTCATTGGCATCTCGAAGGGCGACATGCTGATGATGGTGCAAGAACTGGCACCACTGGGCTCCATGCTGCAGTACATTCTGGATCACAGTACCGAGGTCAAGGTCAACTACGAGCTCAAGCTGTGGGCCTGGCAAATAGCCTGCGGTAAGTGTGCTCTATTCTGCCTTCCTCTTTTTTCTTATTTCGTATGATTGATTCTATTCTCTATTCTTCTAGGCATGCATTATCTGGAGACGCAGCATTTTGTGCACCGTGATTTGGCCGCCAGGAACATATTGCTGACCTCCAGACAGCAGGCCAAGATCAGCGACTTTGGCATGTCGCGCTCCTTGAGTGCGGGCAGCGATGAATATCATTTCACTCAAGGGGGACGCTGGCCAATCCGCTGGTATGCGCCGGAGAGCTTCAACAATGGCATTTTCTCGCATGCGAGCGATGTTTGGTCCTTTGGCGTCACATTGTGGGAGATGTTTGCCTTGGGCGCACCGCCCTATGGCGACATATCCAATGTGGATGCCATCAAGCTGGTGGACAGCGGACAGCGCTTGCCACAGCCAAAAATCTGTCCGGCGTACATCTATGCGGTAATGCAAAGCTGCTGGAACTATCACCCCAGAGAGCGGCCCACCTTCGCCTATCTAAAGGAGTTCTTCAGTCGTGATCCCGAGTATCAGAATCTTCCAGAGCTGGTCCAATCGGTGCACATCTAGACATCTGCTTTACTCTATATATAATTTCCTTCAAACTGTGCAATTGCTTTTACACCTACTACATGTATTCGTCTATCTAACGTATTATTTTACTTTTCTGCTCGCTTCCGATATACTTCGAGCAGGCTCCATATACATACATGCATCTGAATAACTACTTGTACCATATATACAATTATACATATATGTATATTTTTAAATGTATTTTACATATTTGTAAACAATTTGTGTCAAATAGCGAACAAGTGCCTTACATTATATTATAACAATTATCCATTATGCAAATGATTTTTATACATAAATAAGTCTTTTATTTGATTTCGGTTCTTAGCAGCGTCTTCTTGCACAACAGTCCCTTTACATTCCCTAATTTAACAGCAATCTGTAAAGCAACTGCTAAATAATTCGTTGCATACCCCTTTACACGTTTCAATTTAACAGCAATCTGTAAAGTAAACATTCTGTAAAGCCGGCTGAAAATATGCAATAAATTGTTTTAAATTTGTTTCATATAACAATACATTTATTACAAATCATTCAATACAAAATATATATGTATATATTATATACCTTAAAAGGTACAGAAATGAAGCCTATTAAGCTCATCATGTAGATAAAGCAACATTGTAAATTGATTGGATATTGAATATTCGTTCATTTACTTCTTCAATAATATTAGTTGACGGCCCGACATAATTGTCGATTTCTTCAAATACATTTCATTTAGAGCATTTATTGCAAATTGATATAAAATGTGTTGTGTTATTTGTAGAAGTTGTTAATGTACTTACGTGCTATGTTAGTTCAGGTATTTAGATCAGTTATAGATCATAATATGTTTATAAAGCAAAGTTGCAACTATATAATAATAAAAAGGCCAAAAACAAAGGCGTCAAATGTATAGGATTAGCAGATCAAATATCAAATCGAGCCGTTCATCGCCTGCTGCACATTCGAGGTGGAGACCAACTTGAGGGCGTCCATGATGCCGTTCAGGTTCTTCTCGTTGTATGCCTGGCCCTGCAGCGGAGTAACCACCGGGACCAGCTGTTCGCTTTGCGGCAGCTGAAGAGAGATTTTAGTCATCAGACCCTGCAGGAGAAGGAGAACAATGGCATTAGAAACTTGGAGCGTATTGAAGCAATTGCAGATAATGTCTTACAGCTTCCACTTCGACATTCAGCTTGAGCTTCATGCCACTCTCATTGCCCTTCAGCTCGAGCTCCTTTTCGACAGTAAATTTCGGCGTCTTGCCAATGACCCAATCCCAGGAGCTAAAATTGGCACGCAGCTCGTTGATGCCGGGGAACCATTTCTCCGTGGGATTGATCAGCTGAAAGCCACGCTGGTTCATTGTCTGCGTGCTGCCGCCATCCTCCAGGGCCGTTGCTGCGGTCCGCAAATACTCATAGCCCACGGCCGAAAGCAGCTGCTGCACATTCACGTTCCGATTCACATCGGCCAGATTGCGTATGGGCGATGGCACCGATGCCGTGGCGCGGCTAATATAATTGGCCTTCTCCTTAACCAGCGACTCGCTCAGATGCAACTTGTTGGCCGTGGCCAAAATGGTGCAATGATGATAGGCATTGGGACGACCCAATTTCGCAGCCGTGCCCGAAATCTTAAATATAATAAAAAATAATTTTAATGACTGCAAATTAATTTCGGAAAGATAAGCCTCAAAATGAGTAAAACTGATAGTAAAATTAAAAAACGTTGGCTAGTATAGATTGAATTTGATAGATTGTTGCTATAGCAACTATAATTAATATATGTATATATATAATATGTGATATAAAATATATATATAAAGTCTATGAAGTTTGTCAATCATACAAAAACGAACTCACTTATACATATATACATATAAATATGGAATATGGGGCGACTCTGTCTACAAAGGTAGTCTAAAGAACTCAAGCTTATCCTCTTTGAGATAAATTCAAATATAATGTTGAATCGCAAAATAGTAGTAAGTTTTAAATGATTATAATAAAAAATAATATATAAAATAAATTCTTGTCTTCGTAGAAAAGACAAACCCAAGCACAGTTACATAAATGAAAAGAAAGAAAGAATTCGATATATGTATGTAGTATATGTGTATATGAATTTGGCTACGACTGTCCATACGAAAACGGAGCATATATATGTACATATATTTGACTTTCCGCAGCAAGGGTAAAGAAGAGCGCAAAAATGCTGAACTTTTCATTTTGTATGGAAAATTTGCGAAATATTTTCGTTATCTTCGCTGTGATCGAGCTGAAAGCTATTCTAAGCCGGTTTGAACTGCGGGCCAGGCCTGGCCAGATGTTTATGTTTGTTTGTCAATTGAGCTGATAACAGTGTGAGCTGCGTAGATTTGGCCACATGTCTAACCTTTTTGTTGGCGATAACAATATCGTCGCGATCGTTGATCTCCGCCTTGATGGCCCACTCGCGGAACAGCGAACGCGTCACAATATTCAGATTGTACTTGCGATCGTAGCGCTCGCGGGGCGTAAAGAACGTGCAGTTGAGATTGCCCGGATCATGGTAGACGGCGCCGCCGCCGCTGTTGCGACGCGCGAGCGTAATGCCACGTTCCATTAGCTTGGACACATTCGCCTCGGTGAAGGGATTCTGATGGCGGCCAATGACGACGCATGGCTGATTGGCCCACAGCAGCAAGACATGATGATGGCTAAAGTCAAAGTTCCTATAGAGCCAATCCTCGAGAGCTAGATTCGTGTAGATGTCATTCGATTGGGAGATGAAAACAGATTTCTTGATATCAGCGTCAGCCACAGCAGCGACCCTTTTGCTTGTCGACGACGATGTTTTTGTTGTAGTCGCTGCTGTTGTGGTTGTTGTCGTAGTAGTAGATGTAGTAGATGCAGTTGTATTGTTATCTGAGGCGAGCCGCGTGATTTCGGTTGACGTTGCGCCCAGGCGCTGCAGCAAGCGCAGCTGGCTCGAATTACGACGCAGTAATATGCTCATTTTAAATATGTAATTTAACAATCAGCCACAAAACGGGAACAGCTGTTCCTTTTCTTCTCTTTTCTGTGCTTGTCTTTTTTTTTAATATTTTTATTGCACAACTCGATGCAGCGCTGTGTTATTGTTGTAGCCGTCGCTCTTTTTACAAGGAAGCTTATGGGCTCTGTTGCTATGTCGCTCTCACTCGCTCTTGCTCTCTGTCTCTTTTGCAATCAGACAACGGCAATGCACTTGCTTACTTTGCGTTCGCTGTTACAAAAACAAGGTCACAGTCAGTCATTAATTGATATGTTGCTATTGTATTTTTAGTCACTTTTTTAACTGACGTTGTTCTGCTTCTTCTTTTTGTTAGGTTAAATTGAATTTTAAAGTCTATATGTTGTCTATGGCTAGGTGTGTGCGTATTAATTATTATCTGTAGCGTTTCTATTTTAGCTTATTTTTTCTTTGTTGCTTTTTTTGTCGCTCAGCACGCTGTTTTTTCGTATTCCTTCTTTTGGTTTATTGCTCTTTATTATATGTGTATATATTTTTTCTTGTTTTTGGCCGTTTGTTGGTTTGGACTTTAGATCGCGCTGGTTAGGACCTGGGTATCTGCTGCCACAGAGCTAGCGGAGATGAGGTATTCGTGCAGGGCGGGCGTCTGGTGAAGCCACTTCCAGGTTTGATGCAATCCGCAGACACGCTTACGAAGACCCAAACAGTCCTTGTTGTTGCACCAGTTTACTTGCATACTACGCTTTACACCCATCCAAGAATGAACGGTCTAAACAGTCAACAGGAATTTTGGCCAGCCGCTGGCCAATCAATGAGCATACACTTCTGCTACGCAATAAGCCCAACAATATACAAAAGTTATAGCAAATCGGTGGATACCGCCTTGAAAATTGAAAAAATTTTCCACTCGAATGTTTGTACTATGCGGGGGATGGAGCGAACGAACGCGGTGTAATACAAAACAAACACTGACACACAGACTGTTCAGGCAACGGTAAATGTTGTACGCAGCAATCACGTCTGATTCTCATTGGCGCAAGATAAGCACTGACAAACCTATTGGAATGGCAATTTCGAGCACAAGGCACAACAGCTGCCAAGCTAACAGATATGCTCCTCACTTAACAGTAAGCTTTTCACAATGGTATTGTAACATTATACAATTTAAATATCAATACTAACGTTGAATTTGGAAACACATTTGAAAATTCTTGTAATTTAATTAACTTTACCAAAATTTATACAAAACATATGATGGCTAGGTTTGCTTGTGAATGTCAAAACAGCTGTCAAGCATACAAGCAATACATTACGATGTGTTTACAAGGTTTTACTATTACAATTTATTTTAAGCAGTGTTTGGAGAGCCATTTCAGTTGGGTATTCCGCCATTGTTGATGTACTCTGCCTCCAAGGGATCGATCGGCTTGCGAGCGAAGCGCGCAGGCAGTTCCCAATCCTCAATTGCTGGTCCTCCAGAAGTCTGTTGGATTTTTAATAAAAAAAATTAGGAACAAGTCTAGAATTCTATGCATATTTTGCATCGCCTTATGTAGTTAATGAGCTACAAGGTTAACCTTTTTGGCTCCGGAATCCTTTGAACTTGCCTGTTGACTTGCCGCTGGTTTGTTTGTCAAAGCTAAACCTCCCTTCCGAAATTGGATGAGAGGCACACGTTTTGTCAGATTGACTATATTTAAACGCACCATTTTTAAATTACAATTATTTAAAATCGGTTTTGTTTAATAGACAGTAATATGCCGAGCGAGAGTTACGTCAAAACAGCTGACTGTAAATCCTAAAGCAAAGTTGCCACACGTTTTTATAATAGAGTCATTCACACGGAGCGATAACAAGCGAACGAAACATTGCCACTCACAGGTCTGCAGCGCAGAAAAACAAATTTTTGTTTGTAATTTGATAATTGTAGAAAAAGTTGTCTGAAAATTATCTTCAAGCTGGCCAGCGCAATGAACGTCGCAGCCGGCGGCACCAGCGCAACTGCAGGAAGCGCCTCAAACAACAATGCCTTGCCCATGGCTCAGCTAGCCGATGGGTGGTTAGAGCTAGAATCAGATCCGGGTCTCTTTACGCTGCTCTTAGAAGATTTTGGCTGTAAGTAAATGCAATTGAAAGGCTCAGTTACTATACATAATTATTGCAGGTCACGACGTACAAGTCGAAGAGGTGTATGACTTACAGAAGCCCATAGAAAGTCCATACGGCTTCATTTTTCTTTTTCGCTGGATCGAAGAGCGTCGCGCACGTCGAAAAATTGTCGAGACAACGGCCGAGATATTTGTTAAGGATGAGGAAGCCATCTCAAGCATCTTCTTTGCCCAGCAGGTGGTGCCCAATAGCTGTGCTACCCATGCTTTGCTCTCTGTGCTGCTTAACTGCAACGAAAACAATCTGCAATTGGGCGAAACGTTGAGTCGCCTCAAGGCGCACACTAAGGGCATGAGCCCGGAGAACAAGGGTTTGGCCATTGGCAATACACCAGAATTGGCTTGCGCCCACAACTCGCATGCCATGCCCCAAGCGCGTCGTCGTCTGGAACGTACAGGTGCTGGTGTAGCCAGTTGTCGATTTACAGGGGAGGCATTTCATTTTGTTAGCTTTGTGCCCATCAATGGGCAGCTGTTCGAGCTGGATGGACTGAAGCCTTATCCAATGAATCATGGCTGCTGGGAGGACCATGAAGATTGGACAGACAAGTTCCGTCGGGTAATGGCTGACCGTTTGGGTATTGCGACTGGTGAGCAGGATATTCGCTTTAATCTGATGGCCGTAGTGCCCGATCGTCGCATCGCCATCACCCATAAGCTAAAGATGTTACGCACCAATCAAGCCATCGTGTCGGGCACACTGCAGAAGCTGCTCAAAGCGGATGAGCAGGGCGACGATCAGCAGCGTCCGGATACGCCCAACACGCTGCTAGAGCCGAGTGCCTTTACAGCACGCGACCTGCAATCCCTGCTCAAGAACCTTGATACGGAAATCGCGATCAATGAGCAGCATTTAGCTGATGAGAATGATCGGCGGCAAATGTTCAAAGTGGACGCTAGTCGTCGCACCCACAACTATGACAAATTCATCTGTACATTTCTTTCCATGCTGGCACACCAAGGCGTGCTCGGCGAGCTAGTCAGTCAGCATTTGCTGCCCACCAAGAAGATAAGTGGACAGAGCGCTGCGAATCGACTCAGCAAACAGAGCAGTGCCGCCACAGCTAATACGACAAACAGCGCTGCGAATACCACAGCAGGAAAATCCCAGCCGCAACAACAGCAGCAACAGCAACAACAGCAGCCACAATCGCAAGCGGCGAAGAATGGAAAGTCACCTGGGAAGACACCAGGTCGTAGACGAAAGGGGCGAAACAAGTGCAGAAAGCGCAAGTGATTCGCATTAGGATAAACTAATCTAATCTAAACTATATATATATATGTTATATATAAATTTGATATATTCACTAAAAATTGTCTAAACTAAAACTTTTATATATTTAGTGAAGTCTCTCATGGTTCCATAAAAACTCTTCCACCAGGAAGATGTCCTAGTTGTGAAGTAATGCATATTACTTCTAATGCAGCTGTCAAATTTGTATCCACTTATCACTATTTAATTTGTTTCACTAGAATTGTATTAGTAAGTTGATAAATAAAATCTCAACTTTTTTCGACTCAATTCAATTGTTTTCTTTTCTTCAGTCGTAATAAGTAATTAAATACATGTCCAATAATAATATGTTTATCAAAATTTAAAAACATATCCTTCAAAAGCTGTCTTTGAAAGATGTCACTATATAAAACTATACACCTAATTTATTTAATTACCTAAATTTGGTTATTATTTACATTTAAATTTCCGATAGCTGTATTTTTGGTTTCCGATTTATTTGATCTTTTTTTTTTAATAATAAAAAAACATTTGTTGTTCATGTATTTCAATGTATCAAGTACGAAAATGTACGAGTGTGTGTATGTGTGACATATGTGTATGTATATATATATTTCTATATATCTATATGGTAATTATATAACAGAAAAAAGAACCATTTCCATATGATTTCACATGTTCCATATGCTTCGTCGCAAACTTAAATTATGTAAATATTTGTTGTTCAACAAAACAAAAACAATGCACTCTAGCTATATATATAATAATATATATCTGAAGTATAGTTTTTTATGTTTTCATGTGTGTTATGTTTTTATAAACTATAAAAATAAGGCAAATGTTTAACAAAATTATTTTTATAAAGCTGGTGATGATTAGGAGGATGCTTGGTAGTGTGTTTCATGTTTTTTTTTTTTTTTGTTCTCTTCTTTTTGATAGACTAAAGCTAAAATGTTTTTCAGGCCATTTATCTGCTGAGGATTTGGCCGTACATGGTTTATATAGTTAAATTTAACTTTTCATATGAGCAGTACAAGAGCAGCCTTTAGAAAACAATCATATTTTATTCTGTTCTTAACTTTTATACTACTTTTTTTCTCCCTCCTTTAGTTTTTTTTTTCTTTTGTATATTTTTGTAGGATTATCCATTTAGGTTCTTTTTTGGAAGTAAAAACACTTTGTTGTTGCGAATTTTGCTCAGTCCACGAAATAAAATGAAATGTTGACAAACTAACATGCTGGACAACAGAGTTGACAATTTTGTGACTTCAATATTGAATGTGTATGTGTTTTTTTTTTTTGTTCTTTTTTGTGTGCTATTTTTCATTTATGTTAATTGTGAATGTTCTTTGTACATTCATAGTTACTAGTTTTGATCTGCCTGCATTCAACTTGAAACCGTAGTGTTTGAATCCTCACTTCCATTTGTAAGCTGTGCAGTTGTGCCTCCTTCTGCTTCTGAACCTTCCTTAGGCTGTTCAGTGTCATTGGAGTTGATAGCAGCCACAAAGGTTTTGAGAGCAGCGGTTACCTCATTCTCGTTTGCGCCACTGTCTTCGCTCGTAGTCAAATGCTTTTCGATTTGGTTACGCACCTTTACAATATCCTTTTGACTGCACATTGAGAGGGAGATAAATGTAAATAATAAGCATAATTTATAATATAAATTATATGCAGTCAATTGCCCACCTGATGTGCACAAAAAGTATACCATTGATTGTGTTCAGCATTTCCAGTACAGATCCCATCGATGGCGGCGTTATGTGTATGGGTGGCAAGTCACTGGTCAGCTTGCCATTGGAGTAGATGTCGTTCATCTTGCGCTGCAGGGCAACAGCCTCGTGTGTCAACAGACGCAGACACTCGGCCGACTCACGCGTCTTGTCGTGCTTCTCACCAAGCTATAAAAATGAAAAGTCGAAGAGAGTTAATCGAGCTGCCCATTGCAAATGCATCACATCAGTTGGCTTGCCTGTGTCTTGTAAATGGAGTAGGTCTCCTTTTCGTTGTTCAATGCTGAACGAAAATCGCCCATGCAGGATTGAATGCGCGCCATCAGATGATAGCTGACGGCCACGTGCATTGCTTTGTTGCCAAAGTACTTCAGATTCAGCTTAAGAGCATGCTCAATGAATCGCAATGAGAGCTCATATTCGCCAAGCGCATGCAGGATCAAACTTATATTGCTCTGTGCAAGGAGAGAGAAAAAAACAATCAAAGTTAAATTAAAATAAGGCGGTCTGCTAAGTTCGCCCACTTACATCGATGAGCGCCACCTCGGGGTGATCCTCGCCGCAAACGAGAACCAGAAGATAGCGAGCGCGATAGAGCAGCTTCAACGACATGCCCACATGTCCATTGGCGAAGGAGTAAAGCGACAAATGTGCCTGCAGAGAGAAAAGAGAGATTAATTTATCATATATACATATATAATTATATAGCGAAACTGTCTTACGTATTCCAGTATAGTTGATGGGTGATCAATGCCATTGACGCGCTCGCTCATGATGACTGCGCGCTGTTGTATGGCCAACGCATCCTGAGCATCGCCAAGCAGGTAACTCAGACGCGCCAGCATACGCAGACAGGAGCCATTCTCCTGATGCATTGCTCCGAACACGTTGTTCAGCAAATTGAGCGCCTCGCTGATCAATTCGTAGCCCTCCTTGAGCAAACCCTGTTGGATCTTGGCTTGTCCCGTTGTATAGAAGTTATAGGCATCTGTGGCCCTTGGACTGATGTGCTTGACCACCGGGAACACATTGACAATATCGTCGTCGCCAAAGGTGGGCTTGTGCTTCGACTCGAAGTTGTAATCACGCAACAGCACCTGGATGCCCACCTTCAGGGCGAAGGCGCGCAACAAGCTGATGCGCAACAGGCCATACTTGGCACAAGCGCTTTCAATGGAATCACAGTCCAGCTCCCAGTTCCAATAGCTTTTAATCTCCTTGCGTATCTGCTGCCACAAGGAACGTGGTGTGACCAGTGCCCAGTCGTAGCTTGTACTGCTGCTGTTCGATGCAGTGTTGGCTGCATTGGCCGATCCGTTGGCTGCTGTGGAGCTGTGGCCATTCTGTGTGGCGGCTGCAGTCGATGTTGATTGGGGCTTGCCCGATTTGTTTGATTTGTTGTGTTTGTTGTGCTTGCCGCCGTTGTTGCGCGGCTGCTTCTTGTGTACCTCCTCGCTGTTGGCGGCGGGATTCACCGGCCCGGTGGTCAACAGACAATTAAGGAAATGGCTAATCGCCGCCGAGAGATGCAGTGGCTCGATGCCCTGCATATAGGTGTAGTAGATGTGCTTCGTGGCACGCACAATCACCTCGAGTATGGCAATGCGATACAAGTAGTCCATGCGTGGCATTTGGGCGAGCATCTTGATCACCCTGCCCAGGTAGCGCACGTTGATGCCATGGCTATGCAAGGATTCAGTGAGACTCTGTCCATCGATAGGCGGCGAGGAGTGTGCCAAATGTTCCTTGATGAAGGCGGGGATTTGTTTGAGTACTAGAAATTCGGCCGCATCCTGCACGAGACGCTTCTGCTTAGCCAGAGATTGAAAGCCGCCCTCGGGGCAATCGACGTGACGTATGCCTGGCGAGAAGACATCCGGATTGAAGCGGAAATCAAACTCCTTCTCCTTCAGTGAGCCCACAGCGGCGCATGCGCGCTTTACAACCTCTGCAGCTTGCACCTCATTCGAGACGGCCACATTTGATTGAGCCTCACGAACGGCATTGACCATGGCCTCGGCGCATTTTGTCACAATCGGACTGGGTTTGGATTCTTTCTGCTCGTCTTCCTTATCCTTTACCGTCTCATTTTCTGTCTGCTCAGCGCTGCTCTTTTCTGCTTGCTCCTTTTCTGGTTCCTCTGGTTTTTCAGTTATAGAAGGCAGGTCCTTCTCAGCCTGCTTTTTGGCATTCAGCTGCTGCAGATGCACTGCAGCAATGCGAATGAATGTCACATAACGATCCTCAATGAATGCCTCAAGCAGCTCTTGGCGCAGACAGCAAAGCTTATGGCGATGCTCAATGGGAAAGCCCATATCGGTGAGCTCCTTGCTCAGCTTCACATCCTGCAACTTTAGGAAATTAACATCTGGCGGGAACGTGCGCAAAAGATCGAGAATATAGTGTCGGCCATCGTTGCCAATGATTCCCTTGCATTCGACAGAAGAGCACAGCTCCACTGGCTCATCACGTTCATTCAGAACCGAATGGGGCAAAATTTTCAAGTGTTTACCCGCCAGACGCAACAGCTCCAAGTACTTGGGATGACTGAGCACCGTTTTGCCAAAGTCGATCGAGCCGTAGACAACCGACTGCTCCTGCTCACGCTCCAGTATACCAGGTATAATGGATTGGGCGGTCACACGGTAGCCACGATAGTCAATAACAACTGTGCCCAGGGTATACAAGCCCTCGACATCTACTGCATTATATACACGCACGCCATGCAGATCATATCGAGGTGCTACAAAGGCAGCATGATCGCCGCCCAGCTCCTTGTAATGGTCGCGCACATCGAATCCCAGCGAAAAGAATATGTTATTCCAGATGAACATTTGCATTTTGGGATCCTCGCCGGGATTAATGGCCAACACATTGCCATCAATTACAGCCATGGCTCCACGTGTTGCAGCCGTCACAAAATCTCCGTGAACCTTAAAAATTGCACGCTCGCGCAGCAAGCGTTCTGGCAGTGTCTTGCGTGGCAGTTCCCGGGTCGTCTGCAGCTCCTCGTTCCAGTCGCGCGTCTGACCGGGTATATGCTCCTCGTACCTGAAGTAAAAGGTTTACTGAATAACAGAGCATTGACTAGGCGCTTGGGACTTACCCCAGTTTGGAGCTAAAGGCATCTTCGGCACGTATGGCATCAACAGTGTGCTCCAATTGCGGCGCTGACCACTGATACACCTGGTAGGGTGTCGCCACACGCTCAAAGGCGTGTCGCATCGTTCGTCGCTTTTGTATAGTTTGAAAGGCGCGACGGAACGACGGCGAAATGTGCGACAATAAATCGATGAGTGAATGACTCAAATGGCTAGGATTATCCGGTTTCGGATTGAAGCATTCGTCTGTGGATTGATTAATATAAAAGCCCTTGGAGCAGGCAGAGATGTGAAAGCGTTTATCCTCCATGGTGACCACATATAGATACATCAGATCGCCATGCAGTTTACGTGGCCCAGGTGGTGGATTCCATGCCGATGTGGTCAACACTTTGAGCGCCTGCGGGCCCTTTGCATTTTTAATATTTGGATGCAGTGGCAATAGCGGCGGGTCACGAATACCGGGTATCACATAATCGGGCGGTGTGCAGTCGACAGAGTCGGGACGTGTTCGTTTCTTATCCAAGAGATCGCCTTGTGTGATGGTATTTAAATATGTTAGCGAGGTGCAATCGATGCCGTTGTATGCATCGGCCGGATCTAAATTTTTCAGCAGATCCCGCACATGGCGAACATGGATTCGAGCTTCGCGCATTGTGTACGGCTCTTCAACAACGCGTATGGTGGAGCCCTGTTCCAGCCCTTCAATGGTCTTTAATTCAGCAAAATTATCCAATGTTACATTGTCCAATTGCAGGGAGAAACAGGTTCTGTGGCATGTCTCTTCCCGATCCATTAACAGCTGGTGAATTTCCTGTACCAGCTCCATGCTCGACAGCTGCACAGACAGCACATCTGCGCCGGGGCTGCTAATGTTGACAGTTATACCAACATCATGCAAAGCATCAAGATCAACATCTTCGCCAGATGCAGCCGCTTCGCCCTCGGTAGCAGCTCCACCATCACCTGATGAGCCGACCTCTGCTGCTGCTTCGGTGGCGCCTGCTGCGGCTGTTGCTCCCTCTCCGTCAACTTTCTTATCCAGCACATTTGCATTAGCATCGGCGGCATCTCCATTAACTGATGCCTTCTCTGCGTGCCCATTGCTGAGAGCAGCGCTAGCTACTGATGCATCTGGCTGAGGTGGGCTTTTGTTACGATTTTTCTTGCCTGCATTTGAGAAAACAAAAGCAAGAATTATTTAAATCGTGGTCAACGGTGGAATCTAATGAACAAATGCTTTATGAGGGGCTATCTTCAATAATACATGAGCTAGTTACTTTTATTCATATTATTGTTCATATTTATTATTGTTCATATATTGTTCATTAATTTATAGTGTATTACTGTAATTAATAACAAAGATTGCAATATATGCTCAAATTCCGATTGTATGTAGAACTGGTTCTCACAGCGATTAGGGTTTCGAATCACAATCCCATAAGATGACGAAATATGTAGATGTGATGTGCAATTATATATTAATCGATAAATTTGAATTGAACCAGTTAAGTTCAGAAATTCGCTAATCTCAATAACCTGACCTCACCTACATTTAGCTCATTTGTTACATAAGAGTGCTCAGCGAGCATTTACTTTTGCCATTCACTGTAGCCGGCTGCATGCACATACACATGGCGACTTACGCGCACACACACACAAACAAGCACACATGTTTCGTTTGCTATAAAACAAAACATGAGAAAAGCAAACAAACCACAGTAAACGCTGATAAGACAGACTTGCAAGAATGCAGCCGCTAAATTTAACTCAAGTCACAACTGAATAATCGGACATCTTTTTTTCACAGAGCCATGTTAATTTCTACAGCACAGTTACAGATTACAGCAAAACCTAATTTCATAAACAAATCTAGTAAATTAAACACTCATATCCAACCAGAGACAGAGAGAGAGAGAGAGAGAAACTTATGCTTGGGATCATTTTGTTGTAGATGTATATCGAAGAAGAAAAACATGATTTACATAATTACCAAGGCGATATATTGTTTATGTGAATGTCAGTGCGTGCGGCTTTTGTTTGTTTGTTGCATGCTAAAGCGAGTGCGTTTAGCAAGCACGTGGTAATTGTAGGTTAAAGATTCACTTAATTCAACGCCGCAGGGGGTTAATGAACATAGGAGCAACGACATGTAAACATGTCTATGCATGCGCGTTGCCATGCTTCAAGAAAACGCATGAGCACTTATACTCACACGCACCGCATTGTACACAGTACGTAACTCCTACTTATACAAATGCAATTGAAACGCACGCGGCAGAGGCAACGTCAATAGCGCCCAGCAATAGACGAACAGACGAGCAGGCCGCATTTAAGGCATTATAGAAAAATACATTACGTAACGTAAAAATGTTATGTGATGGACTATTCGTTCTCGAAAATATAGCACTTAACAGTTAACATTGCCATTTACTGGTTTTATTAGCACATATAAAAACGGAAATGCAAGAAGGGGTATGGCTAGAGGGTAGGGGGGCCGGTTGCTTTGATCGAAAATATCATAGTTAACGCACCTTTCTTCTTCGTAGCGGCGCTGCCGCCATTGACCAAGTTCTTTTCGCCGGCTGCGGATACATTATTGTTGTTGCTGTTACTCTTGTTCTCCTTGGCTTTGGCCTTGCCAGGGGCACCACCGTCGCCAGTCGCAGCCGCCGCCGCATTTTTTGCATCAATCTCGAGCGCCATGCTGCGTATGTTTCTGTTTTAGCGCACAAAAACCCAAATCCAAATTCTATTACACGTTCACGCTGCCGTGTTACACAACTCAACGCTGCTCTGGCGACTGCTGATTGCTTGCTTGCTTGCTCTTGCCTTCTGCTTTATGCCCTGCTCTGCTCACTGCGCTCAAACCGATTGCGCGTATGTGATTTTGATTTATAACTAGAATATCTAATATAAACGAGGATTTATTGTCCGAGTAACTGTTTGTAAACATATGACAATTATATCTTTGGCTACGTTAGCATTAACACACTACACTGAACTACGATTTTAGTCGTTAATTTGTAAATTAACGCGTTGTTTTTCAGCTGGAATCCGCCAGAGTGACCGAATCAAGCAACTGATATAATAGATTTATTTATCGATAATAAAATTCTGTTTTTAGGTATTCTCAGTGACCAGTCACTCAATGAACGTCAACACGCGAATAGTAAAAAAATTGTTGATGAGGTTTGTCAACAAACATGTCGCTGATTAAAAATTTAGTTAAAGAGTCAGAAGATAACAGACCTCGAAAGAAGAAAAAGAATGGGGACTCCGAAGACAGCGACAATGATGAAAAACCCAAACCAGTGGGGCCGTATATTAAAAGTGCTACAGATCTACAAAGATTAAAGCTGGAAAAATTAATGAAAAATCCAGTACGTTTTATCAATAATTTAGTGTAAACAATTTATTATTAAATATATTTTCACAGGAAAAGCCAGTTATTATACCAGAGCAGCGGCGAGAACGTGACTATATGTCGTCAGTTCCCACATTTGTGCGCAATGTGATGGGCAGCAGCGCTGGCGCCGGTTCAGGTGAATTCCACGTTTATCGTCATTTGCGACGCAAAGAATATGCTCGTCAGAAGAATATACAGAACCAAAGTCTGAGAGAGGCTGCCGACATGGCCTATCAACAAAAATTAGATAGTAACAGACAAGCAGCTGAAGAGCGTACTGCAAAAAAACGTGCCAAGCGCCTTAAAAAGAAGCAACGTGCAAAACGACCCCGCGAACAGAAACCAAACGAAGAGAAAAAAGTGGAAGCTGACTCGAGTGGAAGTGCATCCGAAGACGACGCTGAGACAAAAACTGAAGCGGATACAGAAAGCGAAGTAAAGGAGGAAGCAGCAACAGCCACAGCGTCAGCGGAAGCTACAAACACTAATGAAGAGAGGGAAGTAGTTGTTGATGCACCCGCTGAAGCTGGCAACCAAGAAAAAGATACCACAGCTGACGCGGATGCTGAATCCTCCCAGGCAGACACTTGACGTAATTTAAAACATTCTATTTTAATAACTTCCTGTAATCATTTTAAAGAATATAGCTAATGTTTAAGTGAAACAAATTTATGGATTTATTGATGTTATGTATGTATATATATATATATATATATATATATATATATATATATTTATATCTATATATTAACCAGTTTGTGTAGCGATAAAATTGCCATTATAATTATAATTGGCTAGTTATCGATTGCATCTTGTGTGGCTTATCGGGATAATAGGCCATCATTTAAAGCAGCTTTGGTGATGAGAGAAGCGTTTTTGCATTGCATTTTTTGTTTAAATTGTGGTTCCCATAGCTTATGCTAGAAAAGATAGGTGACTGTGCTCTGTATATATATCGATTATAAGTTGTAATCGAATGTGCTCGACTAAATTATACCCTGTACCCAGTGCGTCCGAACATACATACGTAGCAGCATATGGGCGCTGTATTGATAGTAAGTAAAAATTATATGCCATTGGGTACTGGGCATTAAAAATGTCTTTAATTGTTGATTTTTGTCGTTTGTGTTTCTTTGAAGAAGCAAATTTTATTGTTTACAATTTGTATTTTTTTTTTTTGTTCCTTTCTTCTATTTTCTTTTCTATAATCCTGTTATTCACTTCTTCGTCTTCATTTCTGAGTGTGTATTTACGAAATTTTCAAATGTTCCACAAATAATTAATAATGTATACATATATACTATATTTTTTCTGCCTTTGCACTTATGAACAATTATATTAAAATTAAATTTGCAGCATTTTTACTAAAGTAAATCATATTTTTTTGAACTTAAAGCAAACTTAAACTTGTACACATTAAATTTTTCTTTATATATTTATTTGTATTGTGTTTTTGTTTAGATCCTTTTTGCACAAAAAAGAACACAAAACTTGGGAGCTGTATTTGTAAATAATTGTAAAAGCGTTCTTTTTTTGTTTGTTATTTTTTCTATTAAAATTACCTCAATTTCATTTGCATAAAATGCGGAGTAATTTTCAATAAAAACATTTGTTTTGAAATCGTTCGCTCTACATATAGTGAAAGAAAAATATATTTCTTGCTGCTTATTTTCTTGTTGATTGAACTTGAATTTTCTTAAATATTGCGCGAGGGCGTGGCATATATATTATAAGAATCTATTAATATGCGCTTATATGCAACAAAAATTCAGAAATGACAACATCGTTAAGTTTCGTGTCTACTGCGTGTTTGCTGTTTCTTTTTTTTTTTTTAGCATTTTGGATTATGACAAACATTTTAAGTCGTACAATCGTTCTTATATGCATGTGTATTTAATTTTTTGTTGTTTTTATATTTGTAAGTGCTTTTCAAATTGTTTTTCACACTCACAAGAAAACTATTGGAAAATTCAACTACAGATCTTAAGTTTTTGTCGGCTAGCGAGCGTGCTTTTGTTATCTTATTAATTTGTTTTGTTTTCCTTTTATATTTGTTGAGGCGCGTGAGTCTACACAGCATTTAAATTAATAGTAATCGTATGTATATTTAAAGGTATATATATATAGATATATATGTATATAAATATGCATGTACTTTGTATAGTTGGTAGGTAGGTAAGTTAGTTGGTTAGGAGGCCATACATTTAATAAATATTTCGTTTCTTTCGCTGTTTTTGCGTTTGCTGCTTGTTCGGATTTAACTTTAGACATACATAATACATATTCATATATATATATATATAGATACATATATGTATATATAAATATATAGATAGATATATTTTGAAATATACATATATAATTCGCATGGATGCATCTGGTAAAGGTGGCTGAGACTGTGTATACTCAAACATATATATCTATATATGTATATATATATGTATAAATATTGTAGATATATTAATTATGTTAAATTGAGAAATAAGCAAATCATTTTCTGCTGAATTCTTAACGACATTCCCAAACTTTAACTGATTGATCTACGCTACCAGAGATGACATACGGATGCGCTTTGTGAAAATCTGTAATAAAATATTGCAAATTACAAAATTGAGTTTGTGTTAATGCAGTGTGAGTCACTTACCAATGGATGTGCAGAAATGCTGATGCGCATAGAGCGTCTTCATGCATCGCTTGTTGCGCAAATCCCAGACCCGAATGGTCTTGTCATCACTGGCTGATACCAAATATTTGCCACCGGGATGGAATGCCAAGCCCCTCACCCAATTGTCATGCCCGTTCAATGTGAGCAGGCACAGTCCAACGCTGACATCCCAAATGCGTATGGTTTTATCGCGTGAGCCAGATGCCAGGAATGGTCCCTGATGGTGACCCTTCTTGTTGTCAGCGCCGGCTGCCTCATTTATCGCTGATGCGGCAGCCTCTGGCGCCCATGCAATGCATTCCACCGTATGCTCATGATCGCGTAATTCAACCTAACGAATATATTCAAATTAGTTAGTCAAACAAAATTTCTTATTGCCTTGGAAGCCATATGAAATTGAAGTTGTATTGGATCAACCACCAACCAATTGATTGGCTTCATTTCCGTTCTCCTTTGTAAGGATTCAGTTTGGTTGCGTGCTCACCTTACAGTCTTTTGAATTTGTCAACCAAACGCGTATTGTGTGATCATTTGAGCATGTGGCAAAGATGCTGCCTTCAATGTGCACGCGCACCATTCGCACCCACTCCCGATGGCCGGTGTAAGTTTTTACACAGTATCTGGTAAATTAGATTACAAAAAATTAATATATGTATTACAAATTTATATATTCATATATGTATATTAACACTGACCCTGTGGCCACCTCCCACATTTTGATGGTGCGATCACGCGATGCGGATAGCACGTAGTCGCCGGCGGGTACAAAGGCCACCGAGGATACATTGTGATCGTGACCGTGCATGGTTTTCACACACTCGTAGCTTTGTTGAAAGTCCCACAGTTTAATGGACAAATCAGCGCTGCAGGAGGCTGTAGGGATAAAAAAGTGAATTGAGAAGAAGGACAACATAGTTAGTTGCTTAAATTACCTAAAAGCTTGCCCTGCGCATCAAATGCCACATCTTGCACAGAGTCTGTGTGTCCTTTTAGACTACGCTCATATTCGCCAGTTTCGAAATCCCAAATTTTAATGGTGGCATCCTCTGAAGCCGACACCATGAGTCCAAATATTGGATGAAATATAACCTGTATAAAATGGAATTATTGAGCTCTGCTTTGTTCACTCAAATGCTTTACTTACCCTCGTTATGCTGGCTCGATGTCCTGTTAGTGAGTATTTCTCTGGCGGCCTGGGTATCCATTCGCCGGGCGTACGTTTGTTCTTTGTGGGCGCACCCTCGATAACCTCCTTTTCAGCTTCGGTTAGCTTAGCCTCTAGGTCCATGACCTTCTTTTGCAGTCGTATGACCGATGTCCATTTCTTTTCTAATAGCCCGCCATACTTCTTTTCCGATTCTGTGCTGAGATCTGCCTCCTTACGAAAGGTCTCCAATGAATCAGCATAGCCATTTGAGCCCAAATAGTCGGCAATCGCTTGGTTACTAGAGATTTATATATAGACAATGTTATTGAGGGGATTTTTTTGGCTGCCTTATAGTGGATTACTTACAGCTCCTCGCGCTGCCGCTGCGACAACACCATTTTCATGCTGTTCTTCAGTTTAGGCGAGCTTCAATTCTGTTGCTTAATGCCTCGATTTGTTGCTGCCGTCTTCTAGTGCAATGCTGTTGAGAGAGGAAACAAAGAGAAACAACAATATAGACAAATTCTTCAAGCATTATACATGAATGACTGAACAGGAAATTGGTTCCACAAAAATATGAAAAGGCAAGTTTCGCAAAGAGGCAAGTCACCCGCATAGTTATACCCTGCACACATAAGAATTGGTAAAAAAAAGCGTTTATATACTAAACGAAAAGGTATGTAATAGGTAAAACTTAATAAACATATAAATGCTCTACTGTGAGAGATCCTATATTTAATATTTAAAAATTTAGTACTATAAATTTCACCCGCTTAATTTTCTTACTAAACAAGCAATTCGTTCACTACAAATATATTTATCGGTCTCTGCAGGGTATTTTAAAGTCAGGCATTTTAAGCGGAGTATTAAATTTTTAGCTTTTTGTTTTTGGCAATGTTGCCCCATAGCGCCGCATCTTCGACATGCATACATTAATCTGCTCTTTCTTCAATTCGACCTCCCTTCTCAGTCTTCTTCTTCATTGTTTCACAACGTGCTGCATGATGATCAACATAATTATCAACAGAAAGCCTCAGAAATTGTTTCGTTTCTGTGTTTCTGGCACACAAAAATATTTTCGGTTATGTGGTCGCAATTACAGTGAGCATTGTCTGCAAATCTCTTCAGGCCCAGCCAATCAGATTGCAGCAAATATGCAACCCTGTGCTTACTATTGACACATCGATAACTGCATTAACTCTATTCGGATAGAATAATCAAACAGCTTCCAAAATAGACAAAGCAACATTAAAGACGACTCGATGTTGCTGAAGTAGTTGCTTTAAGTCGTTAGGCATGTTTATGTACATGTTGTTGGCTAAGGCAAGAGCAATTCAATTAACTCAAGGTGGCCAACAATAGGCAACAGGCAATAACAAAACACAGGTATCACGCAATAAACCGACCAATCAAACTAAACGAATCTAAGCGAAAAAATTAACGAAAGCATAACGCGATTTGTTTCTCATCATTTTTCTAGATAAGCATTTGACGACACATTTGTGTATGTTTTCCACGTTGCCAAAGTCGCATAGCAAAGTTACAAGCAACAGCGCTGACAAAGCCAATTAGCAACATCTAACGGTAGTTCAAGCAACTTCTTATAAGTAAATAACGCAAAACGAAAGAGAGAAAGACACACGAAAAAGTCAAAGCTTAGACCATACACACATACACATACACGCAGTTTATATATACATATATATATATATTGCATACACATACTCGCAACAAGGAAATGACGTTTTCAGATTATTTTTGGACGCTTAACCATCGCCGAATATTTTACCGATTTTTGAACTAGCTGCTATAGTGGAGGGCAGCATATCTATATACTTTTTACTGTAAAAAAAACTAACCAAACCAGTTCAAGCGATGAAATCTGCTTTTTTGCAACGACGACGGCATTGAAACTAGGCATGAGTCACGCGCGCTTTGAACACATTGCGAGAGAAAAGTCAGCCTTTATCAGCTGTTGGGACCTGCTCAAACTCAAAGACACGCAGCGACCATTAACTGCGCATCTAAATATAAAATAAAATCAATAAACTAAATAAGAAATAGACAACGCTAACGTCACGAGTATTAACGGAACGCGAGTGGGTTGGATGGATGTAAGTAGGTGGATAATGCCGGACAACGACAACAACCGTTGTGTTGTGGCAACCGGGCGTGCGTTTTGTTCTTATTGGGGCCAGCATTCCAATACACAGACATGCGCCTTGTAACTTCCAGCCATGTAACTGTGTGGGTAGAGCTAGTAACGGTGTTCTACAACAGCAGCCACTACAACAACAAAACAACAGCCATAAAACAGCTAGACGGGGGCGTTTGGGTCACACGCTGCACAAGATTTGAAAGGCGTTCACTGACGGTGCGAAAAAAGGGTTACCAGCCATACAAAATAATATATGTACGAATTAACACAAATACACTTTTACACAAAGGGGTATTTAATATTCCAATTTGAATTGTAAATTGCCAAGGCATTTGTAGTTGTTAGTTTATGCGGAATGGGAATCTGATGTCAGCATCACATATGTATGTGCCATGCACATGCCCACATGCATATAAATAAGGATACGGGCAATCGCGCAGCTCTCTCCAGGGAGCGAACTGCATGAAAAGAGCGCCTGAGAGAGACCTTGCACTTGCCTATGTGCACTTGGCTGCCATTTGCGTGTTTTTCTCACGCTTTGTCAGTGTTGGTAATGTTGAGAATTTGGCAATGCAGCGAATAAGTAAAAGTTTCGAGTATCGATTAGCAACTACTACACTTGCCAACAAAATGTCTAGACACAAGTCTGAATTAATTCGTATTTACAATAACCTTTAGCTGGGAAAGTCGGGCAAAACACAACAACATATTCTGATTGTAAATTGTAACACACTGTAAAAGCTCATGAACAGGCATTCGACCAAGATAAGACAAGTGTAAAGAGAAAAAGAAATAGAGAGAAAGAGCGAGAGTAAACAGACAAGAAAGACAGGGCTAAAAGTGTCAGAAAACAAACTTCATAGATAATGGCAACGGCAGCAATTTGCGACCGATTTGCACAGTCAGTCTCAGACTTTACGACTCCATCCAATCCGAACGAAGAACCAGCTTAACTTAGCTTAGCTCAGCGAATTGCACACGTTCTGGGAATTGCAGCGAGTGCTGTTAACAATTTTACTACTATATATGGGATCCGAGCACCACATGTGTTTTGTTTTTTAGTGTATATGCGGCGATGGCCAATGCCAAAGCAGCCCAAAACGGAAAACTGTAAAAAAAAGGCAACAAGATTTCTACCGAGACACGACCAAGCTGCATTTGCAGAACTGGTTTGCTTTTAACTTTAGCCCAATTGAAAAAGCTGTTGGAGGCAGGCGAAGGAATCGGATTTTACTGCTGACATTTGTTCTGGATAAAATATCGATCAATTTTCCATATCCCAGAGCAGGGGTAACAGGAGGCGTAGGAGGATACATGCGCAAAAAACACACACATTCACATACGCGCATATATACACTCACACATACACTGACACGAAAACTGACGCAGGGAGTGATGTGTCATCGCTCTTTGGTGGTTGTTGTAGAAGAAAAGCAAAGCACACTGGGGAAGAACTTCAAATTTGTTTTTGTTTTTGCACATGCATGCTTTGTAGTAGTTTAGTTCAGTTTATGCAGCATTATTTGCATAACTTTTGCTGTTCGCTTTGCTTTTCAATAACAAAACATATATACACATTCACATACAAGCGTACACTCAAACACAATAACAACACCACTGACACTGACGAAAAATAAAAACTGTTACGACGGCCATCTTGAAAGAGCAGCGCAGTCAGCGTCGCTGCGGCAGCGATTTAGAAAAGTGGCAATATGCAAAATTGAAAAAGTCCAAATAGATTTGTCAATCACACGCACATTTGTCACAAAACTATTGCGTTTTAAACGGGGTTTTAGTTTCTTTCTCTCGTATAAGCGCGCACCAATACACTGGCAGTCTGTTCATACATGACAAATTTTTTCTTTTTTCCCTATTTGCCCATTACATACACTTCGCTGCTGGTGCGTCGCTGTCGCATTTACGACACTTGGATTATGCGTTACAGACCATGCAGGGACATTGATTTCATGTTTTTCATTGCACATTACGCATACTTACACAGTCTGCTACTTTTATATATTTTTAAAGTATATTAATTTAAATTAATTGGGAAATAATTACGCAGAAATGAAGCGCGGCGAGAAATGCTTCCAATATCTTTCGATGCTTTCGACGTATCGATGCCAAAGCTATTGTTTACCAGCACTAGTTCCAGGGCTTCTGCTTATTTAAGTTATCGATACTTTGACCAAGACGGTGCTTATCGATGGCTGTGCGAAATTATTTGAACAGCTGTTTCAACTATTTTGGCGCTATTAACTTAAATTTAAATTATAAAATAGTCAATCTTTCAAAGATGTATTCTAAAAAGATAAAATGTGTAGTTGACCTTTTACATCACTACAACGCACATAACTTTTTCACATAATTGCAATGCATTGTGTTTATCTTGGAGCACATACATGCTCTCACTAACTCATACATATGTACGTTCATACCCTGTCGGAGAAAATTTGCCTTATCAGTAACAAGCACAGTGATACAGCCATGTGTTATTTATTTTTACGCTCAGTTCTCGTCTAACGCTCAACGGAAACGGTTATTTGTTACACAAAGTAAACGATATCGTTGCGCATATTAAAGTGCAATTTAACAAACAATTCGGTAAAGCACGCGCGTATTTTATGCACTAATACAAGCAAAATATCTTTTTAAATTCATAAACGTATTGTGAGTGCTAAGAAATTGGTTAAGTTAATAGATTGGCAGCTTGATGCCAATAGTTGATGAATCAATTTAATGAGCAAATTGCCAAAATATGTAAATGATTTGCCAATTATGGCAGGCAGCCGTTATCAAACCTTCGCGATTCTAATCAGGCAGCCTGTTTTCTCGTTCACACTCGTTACACAGGCCAATCGCGATAGCGGTCCATAAAAAAAATAATAGAAATCAAAAGTGCGGCCAATTGGACTATGTGCTCTGCTTATCGATAATTTGATTTGTAACGGAAGCTCATCCTTAATACGAACCGTAAATTGTGCTTACATCTCTTTTCGAAATTAAAAGTGCCGTCAAATTGCATTTGGTGTATTTTGCATATGGATAATTCCATTTGCTGATTTTTAAAGTAAAAGCGTCGTTAATGGATTACTCACATCTTTAATTGGCATCAAAAGTGCGGCCAATTTACAATTTGTCACGGTAGTTCGTCCTTAATACAAGCCATAAATTCAAAACACAATTATATGTACGCGTGTATTGGTGTGATTTATTATTGGAAAACGATTTGTGGCGAGCGTTTCGACGGCCTCATATGCACATTGTTATCAGGGAGTTGCTCTGATTACATATATTGTTGATATGATAAAAAAATACCCCAGAACCGACAGCGTTTACTTTCTACGACAGTTAAATTGTTATTATTGGCTTATTTGTTATTTCGTATTTGATTTGTGGTCATGCCAAAGCAAAGCAAAGCGAAACAAATAGAAAACGTATTTCATTTCGCGATTTATTTAAACAAGCCAAAGCATAGGAAATAGACTTTTTGCCTGCTGCCAGTCATACAGCACAATAACTTGTCAAGTAGATAACAAAATATGTCGCCCCTTGCAAGCTATTAATAATTATCGATACAAAAAATGTAATTCTATTTGCTTTAAAATGTCTCTCTCAATGGCAGCCATTGAGTTTCGAGCTACTGAGGTCTATAATTACCACTGTATGTTCTTTGATTACAAATACACACGCACAATAGATAGATACATTCCTAATGAAATATCTCAATTCCTCATATGCTCAGCAATGACAATATAATTCTTCAGCAGCTACGTCATGATCCAAAACTTTTGCTCTCCTATAATTCTTTTAGTAGTTAATATTTTCCATTTTTACTTTTCATTTTTGCTACTTTCAATAAATTTACTTCTTTTTAATACTTCCATATTAATACTTAATAATTATCAATCAGGTTGTTCAGATTGTTATCTTTATCATTAATCGTATATTGCGCCTTTCTAGAGGTCTTTTTTGGGTTTATTTTTAACTCCTCGGTTAAGTAGTCGCATTGTCCATTGAGTGCCATGATAAGCCCTTGCCCAATCCCGGGACTTGCCATTTGCTCAAGTGACCAATATACATATGTATGAATTTATATATGTACGTGTGTATATACATATATAGCGCTGTTGTTGTATTTGTTCTTAATCACAAATTCGACTCTCGCTCATTGCCAATCCCTTCGCTCTCAATTACACAATGAAACTTCACTTGCAAGGCTTTTGCCAAGAACTTGAGTCATATTGTGTATATAAAAAAATAATATTAATATACTATATCTATATAATATACATATATATTTAGTTTTAATAATATAAAAAAATAAATAAATTGATTAAGTAGTGACATTTAGCTAATTGAGCAGATAACAATGTGAGTCTTCAGTTCTTGATTATACTCGCGGAAATCAACAAACTCTCTTCGATATCTTTCGGGAAATTATAAGAAATTATCACTATTATTATGGACCATAGAATATAGGACATTATTTGTGATAATTCATATTTATCAAGGCTGTGCATTGATATTTATCAATATTATTATAACCGACTATGACATACCTTCACTGTATAAATATGTCAGCTCATATAGATATTCCAGTCTATTTCGAAATGGACAATTTACTTTTTGGGAAATTACGTCTTTGTTATCTCTATAACAGGCAATTGCTCTGAAGATTCCTAAACAAAACATTCTATGTATTGGTATATTTATAATATATAAAATTAACCATATAATAGAATTATGTAGAATTAGATGTTTCACTTATTTACCGATTACAGAATAAAGATTCAAGAAGCAAATTGATTCTAGAAACATATAGTACTAGCAGAGGATGAGTCAGGTTTTTAATAGTAAATGCATTTCAATTAATTTCTTCTTATATTTCTCTCTCTCTCTCTCTCTCTTTCCTTCTTCGGGTCAAATTGTTTGAATATTACCTTTGCTATAAGTTAATGCATTTTTATAATTGACACCTGTACTCAATGTGACAAGTTCAAATGTCGAATACACTCATGCCTCGAACACATACATACATACATACGTACATAAAAAACGTTGTTATTGTTTTTTGCGATTCTTTATTGATTCACGCCCAAAGTTTATTAATGTGCACATTGCACTTAAACGAGCTGCTTCCTTATATAAGGGGTTAATACTGTTCGATACGTTGAATTAATTTGGAGAAGTTATTGAGAAACCGGTTGCATTTTGGTCAGCTGACATTGAACTTGTTTTTAACTTCCGAAATGAACAGCAACTGGTGGCAATGTTGTCGTAAGATGAGGCCCAAGAAACACGGCAAGCCAAGGACTCGGCTCTATGGACTACTCTGTGCACCGTTAATCCTTTATGCATGGACAGCAGCACAGGCGCAGGCACAGACAGCCTCAGCACTAGCGGATCAAGACCCAAATGATGGTGTGTAAGCTCTGCACGGCAGACTCTACTTTGTAAACATACATATATTTATCGACCTGTTGATCAAATCGATATATTTATCGTTTGGTGTGTAATTTATTGGTCGATCTATATACTGAATTATGCATTTGTTCATTCATCTGCTTATATAAATAATCGATATACCCATTTACCAATATACATCAATCTATTTATCGATATTAATTTGTTCATGCACCCATTGATATTTACCGATTTACATTAGCAATAGATAAAGAACTTTTATATCATCATATATAGCAAGTCACTAAGCCAAATACTTTTTATTACCTCTATATATTTCGATTAGTCGCTAAAATAACTGTGATTAGTACGCCCTATACGCTAAGCTTTAGTGTCAGCGATGAAGATAAGGAGAAATATGTTATCGAGAATGTAACATGTCCTGCAGGTAGCGCAGCGAGTGTAGCTGGAGGGCAATTCATCTGGTAAATATTTCAGATATTTATATTTGAAAATATAAAATAATTTATGTATTTCGTGCCATTTTAGTGAGAATCTAGAACCATGCACGAGCTATACAACTGCCGTAAGTTTGAAAGGCACGACAGAGAGCGCTACGGTCTTTCAACAAAACGTTATTGCCTATACGGACTATAAAGGTGAGTGCCGGAAGAAATGCATTTTGTATTACTTAATTTATTTATATTCTTATATGTATATCTCTCCATTTTAGAGCCGAAGACGACTTTGACATCCGTTGAAGCCACAGAGACGACGATACGACTGACCTGGGAGACCACCGATCGGGCCTGTGTGAAACATTTTGAGATCCAAGCAAATGCCCCGGACAGCACAAACAGCCACCAACAGTTTAAGGATGAGAGCAGCGATACATTCGTAGTCCTGCCATGTCGGACATACAATGTGACACTTGAGACGAAGAATAATGCGAGCGTGTCCGTTGGCAGCGATATGAGATTCGTGGACACGGGCTATCTGGAGCCGGGCGAACTGCAGCTGACTATCACCAATGGCAGCAATGCGGATACGGTAGTGGCTTGGAAAGATCCAATTAATAAGAGTTGTATAGGCAGCTTTACTATTGTCTGGCGACGCAATGGTTGCGTCTCGGATGAGGATCATGGCACAACGACAGCGACCACAGAGCAGGAGGATGACACGACGACAGCAATCACAGATGATTGGACGGGCCTAACGACTGTGTTCCAGGATACGGCGACACAAAGCGGGACTAGAGGTGAGTGCTTCGTTTAGGCAGAGTCCACATAATCTTATTTAATTTCTGCAGTTGAGTGCGAGTGGAGCCATTACTCGAATGACTCCACAATGAAGCAGCATACCATATCGGACCTGCAGGGCTGTGCACTGCACACCGTTGAGGTATACATAAATGCAGACCGCAACACAACGGCCAAGGCCACGGAGACCTTTGTATCCGGCGAGAAGTGTAAGTTGTCCATAATATTTCTCAATGCTTTCTAAGCTTTGGCTCATTTAGTGCCGGGTGCTGTGTCGGAACCTCTAGAAATCATCAATTCCACCGTACTGCATTGGTCATGGTCACCGCCCACAGATAACGCCCAGTGCGTGGCCAATTATCATGTGAATCTAACTGGACCCACCCAGCGATCGGAATATGCCAGCGACGAGCAGTTGACTAGTGAAACTTTTGCTACCTTCCAGAATCTGGAGCCCTGTGGCATCTACAATGTGGAAATCGTACCAATATCAGCGAATGGCTCCAGGGGCGCCGGGTTCAAGAGTCAAAGCACGCTGAGCGAGGATCGTAAGTAGAGAAGATCTTCCCTTAAAGCCTTCAGTAATAATCTCGCAATAGAGCCCACACAGATTCTGGAGCCATCGAGCAACACAGGACCCTATTTCATCGAGCTGGCGTGGCTGACGCCGAGCTACGCGGATCTGTGCATCGGTGGCTATCGCATATCGGGTTGGATGGACGATAACATAGAGGTTGTTGCACTGAGTCTTAGCACACAAAATAATTCTGTCAGATTTGATAAGGATCTGGGCGCCTGCCAGGGCTATACTATACAAATAATACCCTATACAAAGCAGAATCTGGATGGAGAGCTGCGACGCATCGAAGTCGAAACTAAAGCAGCAATTGTTAACTATGAGAAGGTTTCTAAATATATCTATGTATATATATATATGGATCTATATGAATAACGCTTCGTTTTGTAGATCAAATTCGAGCTGGTGGGCAATGGCGCTACGCCCCACAGTCTGGAGCTGAATGCGAACAATCAGGACTACAACAACCATTGCCAGACGATATTCGCTCATTTCAGCTGCCAGACCAGCGTCGACGTACCCAACACCTATGCGGAGAAGTATGTGGAAAGCTATCGCGATCGCGGGTTTCAGGCGGTAATTGAACCACTCTCGCCCTATACCAAGTACACTTGCAGCGTAGTGCTCTACAATGTGGCTGGACCATCGGGAAAGAAGATTGTGACCGGTCAACAGCTGGAAACACTAACGTTCTGTATGTGTCGGTCTATTAACTTTTAAAATGATTGCCATACTAAGAGCATTTAGTCGATTGCAGTTCCAGAACAGCCCCGAAATGTTCGGTATCATGATAGCACCAAGACGAGTTTGACTTTTGTCTGGGAGCAACCGAAACATCCAAATGGACCAATCAAATACTATCATGCATTTCTGATGCGTTACGAGGCGGATTACTTTGTGCCCAGCACATGCAAAGCAGTGAACGAGGTGATCAAGCCCGAAACCAAAGGCGACATGATGAGCACCTTCAATGATCTATCACCCGCTGTCAAGTATATTATGCAGGTGGCTGCATTGAATGATTTCGGCTTGAGTCAATACACGGCTCCTGTGATCGGCACTACGCAACCAGATGGTAGGCTACTGAACCAGAATTCAATATCCCAATATATGTATAAACCTAACAAAATGTTAATTATATAGTATCGGATCCAGTCACCGATTTAAATGTGACCTCAGACGGTCCCGCTCTAGATCCTACTAGCTACAGCGCTAATGTCACTATATCCTGGACTATACCCTGCAAATCGAATGGCCAAATCCAGGAGTTTGTCTTGCACATAACGGGCGTACGAGCGGAACGGCAGATTAGCTATCAGGAAGGTGTCGCACCCGATAATCACGACAGGGAGGGACGCATGTCGCATAGCATAACCAATCTACTGCCAGAAGTTGAATATACGGTCAGGGTAGCTGTCAAGACAAGGAATGTGGATACATTGAGCGCAAGTGAATCAAAAGTTTGGGAGTCGCCAGCGGGCTGTGAGTACAAATGTATATAATTTTACACTTACCAAAAGAAAGCCATCAGAAATAGTGTTTTAGCAAAATAGTTTACGTTGTGCTGTCAATATCGTACCTGCGTAAACACAGTGATGACTCCTTTCGAACTTTGTTCCATTTTTCTCCAATTAGCATAAAGTGCTAGAAATTTCATTTTAAGCTTTCCAATGCGCGCAACAATATCAGCTTCGCAAAAGTGTCCAGACAGTATAAAATACTAAAAATGCCTTATTTGGCTTATCCTTTATGAGCTTAGCTTAAATATGAATTCAGTATAAAGTACTAATAAATCCTGCATTCGTAATCGACTGACACTCAGAGTTGCCAGCTGTTCAGCTATATACGTATAATACGTTACAAAATTCCTTATAAAATACGTTGCTCTAAAACTAGCTCTTAGTATTTATTCAAAGTATTTCTTTTAAGTATTTCCCTTAAATATTTCCTCTAAGTATTTCTATTAATTATTTCCTCTACACATTTCGTCTAAGTATTTAATGCTTAGCTAAACGAGCACACACTTCACTTAACTTTACTGCACTGCACGACTGACCCCCACCAGGCCTGGGCGACTGAAGAAATGCTGCAGCTGATGCCCTTTATATAGGGCCACTTTCATTCAGAAAGAAATGCGCTCAACTGTTGAGCCCGACGCCAGGGAGAGGTTGTAGCGGTCGAGCCTTAATTAACCAATGGGAACACTCTCTGCTGCAGCAAGCCATCTAGCTTCGTTTTACTTAAATAGGAGTGCCAAATGAATACTGCTGCATACATATAGACAACTGAAATGATCTGTAGCCTTTATTCGTCCATTGCTTTTCTCAGGCAGAGAGAGAGAGAGAGAGAGAGAGAGAGAGAGAGAGAGAGAGAGAGAGAGAGAGAAAGAGAGAGAGAGAGAGAGAGAGAGAGAGAGAGAGGGATAGCATAGCATATACATACATATATACAGTGAGTCTTAAATACCTGCTTTTAACTATGTTTTCTTGCAGTACCTTCTGGCCTGGACGACGACATAGTGGGTAAAATGCGTGTTAGCGCCTATGATACTAATCACCCGACCAGCTCGGCGATTGTGAACTTGCCCCGCGACATTTTAAACTCTGAATCAGGCAAAATAAAATATGTGGCCTTGTTGCTATCCCAAAAGCATTGTGCCGACAAACCGAAATTGACCTATAATGTGTCCAAATCCTGGCCACCCGTGGCATCCTGGGATGAGGTGGGCGGCGATTGCATTCATCAGTACCAAACAACGCCCGAGCGCTGGAATCCCAATGATGAAATTCACATTGGACGCGCCGACAAAAGTGAGGACATTACGTTTATTATAGGCACCGACAAGTGTCCGGATCAGACCAAACGCTACTGCAATGGACCACTAAAACCGAATACGGAATACCATATGGTAGTGCGACTTTTTACCAGCTCCGGCTACAATGATGCGGCACTACTGGAGTTCAAGACGGAGGCGGCGATTAAGGTGACGATCATCCTGGTCAGCGTCTGCAGCTGCCTGCTGCTGGCCTTCATACTGGGCCTGCTCGTGCTCTATGTGCGCAAGCGTATAGCTTGGTGGGTATCTTGGAATGATGGAAATTAGACTCTCTTTCAATTTACCTATACATATTTCAGGCATCGCGACTCTGGCCAGGGCATCGAGGATCCGTTTGGCAATGTGATAGCCAAGAACTTTGCGCTCTTCTATGCAGAAGTGGCCAAGCCGGAAAAGCTGGCGCGTGAATTCAAGGAAATTACGGTTGTGGCCTTGGAGCTGAGCTACGCGGCCTCGGAGCTGGGCAGCAATAAGAACCGCTATGCAGATATCTATCCCTGTAGGTGTATTGAGCAAACTCGACTAGATCTTAGAGAACTAATTCGATTATATTGTAGACGACAAGAATCGCGTTATACTGGATATAGATACTGAAGGATCGGACTACATTAATGCTTCCTTTATTGATGTACGGCTTGCGCTATATAGATATATGAATTAAATCATTAATAAATCATCCTTCCAGGGCCACACGCGAAAGAAGGAGTACATAGCTACGCAGGGACCGAAGCCAGAGAGCGTCATGGACTTCTGGCGCATGATCCTGCAGCACAATGTGCGCGTCATTGTGCAGGTGACACAATTCCGTGAAGGCAACACAGTGAGCACGCGCTTTATATAACCAATGCCATATACATATATATACTTTACTCCATATAGATCAAATGCCATGAGTATTTTCCGTACAATATGCGCGGTGTTACCGTCACAATCAAGGCTAAGGAATGCTTTGATGTTTACGATCGCACAGAGCTCACGGTCGTACACGAGAAATACGGGCTCAAGGAGAAGGTGGTACACTTCTTTTTCAAAAAGTGGCCCGATCATGGCTGTCCCGATGATCCTAATCACTTGATAACCTTTGTGAAGAAGGTCAAAGCAGAGAAGCGTCCGAGCTACTCGCCCATTGTGGTGCACTGCAGCGCAGGCGTTGGACGGACGGGCACCTTCATAGGGCTCGACTTGATAATGCAGCGTCTGAAGAGCGAATCGAAAATCAATATTTTCGAAACGGTCAAGAAATTGCGATTCCAGGTATCTCGTAAACTTATCTGTCTATATTCTGTCTATGGTGTCTAATTTATGATCTCGCTACAGCGCATGAAAATGGTGCAAACCTTGCAGCAGTATACGTTCCTCTACAGCTGCACCTATGAGCTCGTGAAGCACAAGATTCCACGTGCCGCACTCAAGCTTGAGGTGCGGAACAAAACGGATGGCGGTGTGCCACCGTTAACTGCACCCAAGAAGGTCAGTTTTCCCGACACGGATCTGAGTCGTGTCGAGGCAGCCGTACTGGATTCACCCGATCCGGATTCCGGATCGACAGCTGTGCAGTTGCCGTCCCGTTTTAGCGGGCTGCGTCGAGCGAACGATTTGGATTCGTTGAATGAGCAGCCAGAGCGAAACAGTCTTCAACGGGCCAACGGCAAGAGCAGCGAGTGCACTATATAATTTTGTGAGCATTTTGTGACATCATGCATGATTTACATTTTATGGAATGGATACCATGCGTGTGTATTTATTGTATTATACAAATATAATTTAGCAGCAATAACAGCCAAAGAGAATTGTCTAACGCTAAAGCATTGTACTGTGAAATTTAATAAATATATATGTAAAGAAATATACTGTGGTGCTGGGCATACAACAAATAGTTTCTTTTCTAAAAAACCCACTTGAGTTTGAAAAAGACTATGTAACGGACAAGAATACGTATATAAAAATACAAAAAGGCCTAACACGTAACGCACCGCAAATTTAAATCAATACGTAACACAACAAATCATTCGTAACGTAAGTACGTTTATCGAAAACCTATCGTTGCTATGGCAACTCTATTTACATTCAACTGTGAATGGCCAATTGATAAGAAGAAGTGAGCAAGCAACGTTTATTTACAAAGTCGATCCTTAGTGCAGCCGTAAAATGTCTGAGCGCAAAGTGTTGAATGTAAGTTCAAATAATTAATTGTGCAGCCAAAGCGATACTAACCATAACTCTGTTTGCAGAAATACTATCCTCCGGACTTCGATCCGTCGAAGATACCGCGCATGAAATTAGCGAAAAATCGCCAATACACAGTTCGATTGATGGCTCCGTTTAATATGCGTTGCAAAACCTGTGGAGAATACATCTACAAGGGCAAGAAGTTCAATGCTCGCAAGGAGGATGTGGAGAATGAAACCTATTTGGGCATACGCATATATAGGTTCTATATCAAGTGCACGCGCTGCCTGCAGGAGATCTCCTTCAAAACTGATCCACAAAACACGGACTACGAGATCGAGGCGGGCGCCACTCGTAATTTTATGGCATTGAAACTGGCCGAGGAACAGGCGCGTCGAGAAGAGCGTGAAGCACGCGAGGAGGAGGCTAACAATCCAATGAAACTGCTAGAGAACCGCACGCAACAGTCGCGCAATGAAATCGAAATGCTCGAGAGTCTCGAGGAGCTGCGCGATCTCAATAGACGTCAACAAACGGTGGACTATACGACAATGCTGGAGCAGTTCAATCCGGCGGAAACGGAACGTGAACGCGAGGAGCGCGAACAACGCGAGGATGAGGCGTTTGTCAAGTAAGTGTTGGCATCAGACAATTTATATATAAATATATAATTATATATTTGTACAGATCTGTGAACTTCAAAAACAAATCGGACAGCGGCAAACGCATTGTCGCGGAGGAGATTATTGAGGAAATAACGGAGGAGAATAATACAGATGTAACTGCGCCCACACCAGCCAAACTGGCGAAGCCCAATCCTGCAAAGCCTAACCCAAGCAAAGCGCTTTGTGGAGCTCAGCTGGTGAAAAGAAAGACGCCCCTGGTGTTGGTAAAGCCTAAGACAGAAGGAGCAGCAACAACAGCGGGAAGCAGAGTAGAAGGCGGAGCAGCGAAAGCAACTGCAGGAGCACAGGTCCCAGCAGCAACAGTAGAAGTAGCAGAGGGGCAGGGAGCAGCTGGCGCTCAAGTGACAACCAAAGCCTCGGAGCCATCAGCAACACCTGCTGCAACTGCCTCGAAACCTGCAGCACCGGCTGGCCTCTCCCTTTTAGCTGCGTACAGCGATAGCTCTGAGGATTCCAACTGACCCTTGCATCTTAGCAGCATTTATATCGAGTCCATGTTTATTTACAAATTAACTATATGCTAAGGCACAAATAAATGTAATTAAATTTTCAGTTTAACGTTTATCAAGACTTGTACAGATCTGTGTATGATATATGAAATGAAAGTTTTATAGTTACTGCGATCATTGCAAGTGATATAAAAAAGGTTTAGAAATAAGCTTCATAGACACTTATATACACTTTTGTATGGTAAAAAATTCCCCCACATTCTATATGTAATTAAATTGAAGAATATTCAAACAATAAAGACAACGAAATTTGTACTCTAATTTCAGAAAAACACATTTGTCATTTCATAAACTTTTATTTTTATTTTAACGTTTTAGCTGACTTCAAAAATATTTCACTTAATTTCTAGGTTTTTCAAATAATATATATATATGTTTATATTTATATATAGTCAAGGCCATAAGCATAAGGCAAATCAATTTACATACACATTTATCAAATTCTCAAAAATTAGCAACATAAAATGACTAAAATAGTAGTACATGTATATAAATATTCAATTTATATATACATATATATATATATATGCAAAGTATATGTCATATACATCTTTTCATCAATGCATAGCCGATTTCGTGGCGATTGGAACTGAAAGACTTAAAGTTAATTTAACACTAAATACTAAATGGTAACAGTTGCTCTATATATAAATATATACAGCTGCAAAAAAATTATAATAAATAATATCACAAGCGAAATAAACAATAAGAAATTATAAATATTTATCCAATATAGGCTTAAGTATTAGGGTAAATATAGCAATAGATTATACAGTAAGTAATTAATAATAAATCCATTTAATTTCATAAATTACGAAGACACTGGTATCTGCTATAGCTGCCATATCGTTCAGACGATATATGTATCTCTATACAGCATACATATTTGATTAGACTTATATGTATGTAACGGTATATTATCTATATATATATATCATCTATAAGGCTGCCTTCTGGCAAGCGTCGTCACATATTTACTCTTTACTTATTATATTACGTTTAACAGTCTTTGATCGTTTAGTTCATTTTCCATTTACTTTTTGGGGTGGTTGGTGGGGGGCGTGGCAAGCCCATTTCCTTTGTTTTTGCTTTGTTTTTGGTGTGTTGCATTTTGGTTTTGGTTTGCATTTGTATCCTGGCTTTGGCTTTTCATACTTAAATGTCCACCGCTTTGGCTGCTTTGTAGTCGCCAGCTGCAGCCATTGCCACGCCCACCATTACGCCACCGCCACCATCGTAGTTATGGTGGTTGTTGTTGTTGTTGCGTAGGAAACTCTGCTGTTCGGGTGCGCTTTGATTGCGCTCGTAGTGCTCATCCAAGTCATGATAGACAGAGACGCCCAGCGCACGCGTCGGCGCAAATTGCAAATCATTGTCGTCCTGCTCATCTCCCACATCGTCGTCATCATCATCGACGCCAGCATCTTCACCCAGCAGCCGACGTCTCGGCATGCCGACAACAAAATCCTCCAGACTTCGCTTGACGGCTGCATCGGAGCCCGTGCCCGAGTCTTTGCTGGATAAATGATCCTGCTGCAGGTCGTGTTCCGGCTGCTGCATGTAGCACAGAGTCAGACCCTGCTCCAAGCAGCGTTGCTCATACGATGGCGTCGTGTACACAATCAAACTACTTTGCCTCTGGCCAGGACCACACTCCAAGTCCGTCAAACTTGGCGACCGTAGCTGAGACTGCGATTGATGATGTTGCTGCTGCCGCGGCTGTTGTTGATTCAGTTGATGCTGTTGCTGCTGCTGCTGCTGCTGTTGTTGCTGCTTGTGCGCCGCGTTATCGAGTATGATGGTACGATTCATTGTGGTCAACTGCGTCTGATCCAGCGGCAGGGTGTGCTGACTGCTTCGCGTAGTCGAGCTATGCAACAGCTTTCTTCGCTGATAGTACGAAACCTTCCAAACAATGCCAATGCATACCGAGAAACAGATGATCGTGATTATCGTGATAATCATCACAATAAGCAGCACCACATCGATATTGAAGCTATCCTGCACCACCAACAGCTCCGACTGCAGTGTCAAGGTGCGCAAATTGTCGCTGATCTCGCAACGATAGTGTCCAGCGTCCGTGGACTGTGCATTGACAATGACCAAGAGCTCCTTGCTCTCGGTAAAGTAGAAGCGCTCCGCATCGGGCCCAGTGGGTGCATTATGCAACGGCTTGTTCTCCTTGAACCACTCACGATGCGGCTGCTCCAGCTCCATATTAAGCGATTCACTGAGACACTCCAGTACACAGGTGCGACCCAGGATGACCTCCTTGTGGACCAGTGGAATGCTGGGCAGGGGTTTATCTGTAAATGGACAACGTTATAGTATATGTGGGGTACCCAAATTTTATATTGCTGCCACTCACCATTCACAATCAGCGTGGCATTCACTTTAATCACGCCCGCCGGACTCTCTGCCGTGCAGGTATATATGCCCGAATCACTCGGCTTGGCATTCGTTATCAGAAATGCATTCTCCTCGCGTATCACCTGCAGTCGCCGTTCTGTGGCAGCTGGAAAATCACGACCACCAAACTTTTGCAGCGCCATCTCTGGCATGGGATCCCCGCTGGCCGAGCACACCAAGCGCGCCGTTTCGCCCGCATCTATTGTTAGATTCGAGGGCACATGCAAGAAGCTGGGATGAACTGAAAGTAGAGTAAATAATTTAATAAATTTGTATAATTTTAGTATTGTTTCCTTGAAGAAGTTCATTAGTAAACAATTACTCACTGCCTATCGATATTTTGAACTTTTGGCCGTAGGTGGAGCCAAATGCATTGGACACCACGCACTGATAACGGCCGGCGCTCTCGTCAGTGACATTGAACAGACGCAGGTGACCGTAGATCGTTGTCTGATTGGTGCTCTGATCGGGATGTATTTGCGTCTTGGTGCTGGCGCCATCGTGGACATTTTGGTTCTCTACGACGTGCTGATTGTCATGCCGCCACTTGATCTCCAGCTCATCGGTGGCAGCAGCCGAAGCGGCAGCTGGCGAGGTCGCCATGCACTCCAAGGTAATATTGGCGCCCTTGACAGCGAGCATGTTGCTGGGCTCATTTTGCAGCACCGGCTTGGGTGAGTCAGCTGCAAAGATGATGAAAGCAAAGAGTCAATAAAAAAACTATGTAAGAGTTGTTTAGCTGAGACTTACAGCACACGAGTTGCTCAGGAGTGAGCCGGAAGAGCTGGCTATCGAGCAGGTGCTCCGGATAGCCACAGACAGCATTTGTGAAGAGCTTCTCAGTCTTTATGCCAAAGCGATTGAGATGCCATTGACGGAACCAGATCAACTCGCAATCACATATGAAGTTATTCGACTTGAAGCTGAGCTTCTGCAGATTTTGCATATGCTCAAAGGCATTCGGCTGAATGCTAGCCAACTCATTGTTCTCCAGATTGAGCTGCACAAGACTGTTTAGTCCGGTCAGCGCTTTGCTACTGATCTGCTTCAGATTGTTGCCGTAGAGGTCGAGCCGGCGTAACTTGCGCAACGCCTTGAAATGCGCCCCAGCTGATTGATCCTCAATGATCCAGGCGAGACGATTGCGGCGCAAATTCAACTCCTCGAGGTTCTTGACACAGTCGAACGTATTCTCCGGCAAATACTGCAACTTATTGTGGCCCAAATTCAAATGCTTCAATCGCTTCAGACAGTCCAAGTGCTGCGCCTTGAAGTCGCTGATATGGTTGTGCGACAGATCGACCCATTCCAGATATTGGGTAAATTCAAATGTGTCCAGCTCGATGCGACTGATCGAGTTATTGGATAGGCTCAAATGGTGCAACTTGGTCAGATTGAAGAGACCCTGACGGGACAGCGAACTGATGTCATTGTGATCCAGCTTAATGCTCTCAATGTTGCGCATCACATGAAAGACGCCATCCTGCAGCGTCTTGATGTTGTTCGCTTTCAGCTCCAGCTTCTGCAGCGCTTGCAGACCACGAAACGTTGACCAATTGATCTCCAATCGATTCGAATTGAGGGTGCTACAAGAAGAGTTATTTGAGATTTAACTTCATTTGATTGGCATTTCCCTATACACTTACAGCTTCTTTAGGCGCAGCAAGTTCTTAAAGACGCCCACTGGCAGGCTGCTCAGATGATTGTTGCTCAGCTCCAGATCCGTTAGATTGCTAAGCGTAGCAAATGCCAGCTCATTCACGCTGCCGATCTCATTGCCATTAAGTATTCTGTAAATCACATTGGATTTAGTTGGGCTGGCTCTACTAAGGCAAATTTGGTTAACTTACAAATGGGAGAGTCGGTTTGGTCTAGGGAACATATTGGCCTCCACGCTGTGCAGTTGATTCTTGCTCAGATCCAGCAATTTCAGCTTGGGCAGCAAAGCGAGCGCCTCGCTCGAGATGCGCTGTATACGATTGTTGGCCAAGATGAGTTGGCGCAGCGATTGCAGATTCGTAAACATGGGCATCACATCCAGCTGATTGCGTTTCAGCGAGCTGTGTGGTAAAGTAGAGAGAGGTGTTAACATAAAAAATCGAAGCTATAAATTACGAATATAAATATTAAATAAATTTAGAGCTTATAAATACTAAATGTATATGGAGGAAGCCGGGATTATGTTACAGCTATGTTAATAAAGGTTAGTGGTCTGTATAAAGATATGTCTGTTACCGTTGTATTATGACTATTTCTATTGCTAACAGCTATAATACCAAGCTACCTGGCTTTCAATCGAACGAATGTTTACAACAGTTAAACAGCTATCGGACTTTATATCAGCATTAAACATAATATAGTATGACGAATACATATCAAGCGAGGCGAATAAATGGACAGAATATGCTAACAAGTTACTATCTAAGATTGTAGGCTGCTACCAGCAGATTTTACAGTTAACAGTTTAGAGTAGTTTATAATTAATTTTAAATAATATTCATAGCGAAATACAGCAGAGAATCTAATCTGATATTTATGTAAAAATCTCTTGTTACTATGACTAATTGGATAGAGATAAAATATATTTTGCTTTCCTATTTATGAATTTTAGCATTTGCCTGAGGCTTTCAAGCTTTTCTTATCTTCAGCTTGAATTGTGCATCATTTCAATTGAAATTTCAGACTCCAATTGAACAGAAAAACAAAAAAGCCAGATGGCTTCCCTTTACAACTTATAAATGCGAGTATCTAAAAATACTCGCTTAGCTAAACGATTTACAGCATTATCTACTCTAGATAGCTCAACGCAAATGGAATAATTAGCTCAATAAACTCGTACATATATGTATCTGGTATATACAAGCATACATATATGCATGTATATATATATATAAAATATTATATATTGTTGTTTGTTTTTACTTACAGTCTTTGCAGCTCGGACAGATTTCGAATCGCTAGGACGGTGCTGTCGTTCAATTTATTGCCCGCCAGATGCCTGCAAAAAATTGAAATGAAAACAAAATAATATTTAGTCGATGTGTGTGCATATAAGTAATATGGCAAACAATGTTAGCTGATTGGATTTTCGAGGCCCGCAATTAATGGTCTGTAATTATGCTGCAATTACGAGTGATAAGCGGGCCAGAGTCGTGCAATTATTGATGCATTCCACTCGATAAAGATAAACCTCACATTTTGCATAATTTTGCAGTGCATTAAATTGATTAAAAGCAATGCGATAAAATCGCAACCCCCAAAAAGAAAAGTTAAACCGAAACGCATAAATAAAAGTAAAATATGGGTACAACTACATGACAGTTGATAGACCACAATATACCCTACACTATAAACTTAAGTGAGAGATATGTATTTCAAATATTTGTATTCCTAATTCTTATATGAAACACATATCTGTTAAGCCATCAATATACATAACAGAATCTGTTATTTTTGCTAAGACATTAACATGCTATGTAAAAGCATATACGGATCCTGTTAAGGCATTAACATAACAGAACAAACTAATTTACAGAGCGTTTAGCAGTTAACATTAATGTAATGTTAAATATTTCACTCACTACTATAAGACCCCACATGACCTTTAACTACTACAGGGTATATACTCTAAATAAAAGCCCGCAAAGCTGCGAGGGTTGTTGCGAATGTTTCAAAACTGTTCCTGTTTTGGGGGTTGCTCAGAGGGGTTTCATTTTTTTTTTATTTCATGGTTTACTTACAGCGTTTGCACATAGTTGGGCAGTATGGGCACCCGCTCCAAGTGCTGCTTATCGCAATCGAAGAACTCGTTCTGGCATTTGCACTCCTTAGGACAGTTTTTGTTGTAGTTGTTGTTGCTGTTATTGTTATTTTTGGCATTCGCATTCGCTGCTGCTGCTGCCGCTGATTCGGCTGCAGCGAGCTCTTTTTCCGCCTGCTCGTATTGCCCGCCATCATCGGCCACGAAGCCGCGCGTTTCCAGCGAAGCAGCAGCCGCTGCTGCGATTTCCAGTGGAATATGCAAGGCGGCAAATTCCTCATCGCCCGTATCCTCTGAATCGTCTTCGCGTAACGGCAGAAAGCGTGGTCGCTGACGTGAATGTTGATGATGCTGCTGCTGTTGTTGTTGTTGGTGTTGCTGTGACTGCTCCGACTGTGACTGTGAAGCCTCTGCTACCGATGCCAGCGCAGCCGTGTTTCCGTTATTCTTTGCAAGCATGGCAAAAAGTTGTTGCTGTGGCAGCTGTTGATTGTAGGAGGCACCGCCCGATTTGAGCAGCGCGCTCAGCGGCGATGTTAACGCCTCGCCAGACACTGACGATGAACCTGACGTCGATGGCGCTGCAGCTGCATAACTTTGACAAATTGTTGTAGTTGTTATCAGTAGCATGCACGTAATTAGCTGTAATTTATTGATTTTATTGAAATCATGGGCACGCATTGTTGTTTTACTATAATTGCAATTATCATTATGGGCGCATGCTCTTGTTGTCGCTACTGCTGTTTTCGTTGTTGTTGTTGCTTTCACAATTGCGTCGTCGTTTTGCTGTTTGCGCCGCCGTCGGCGCCGTCGCCACTTGCCACTCATGCTCAGCGTTGCGAGGCGTTGCACCAGTATTGAAGACGTCATTATAATTTTGCTAATGTAGTTGTTGTTCTCGTCGTTGCTGCTTCGTTTTCGATAATTATTAAACTTTATCGCTGCATATGCATCCTTTGCCCTTTCCTGCTGTTCGCTTTTAATAGCTGAAACGTGCATATTGCAGTGTTTTTGCTCTTTAATTTGCGTATATTTTTTGTTTTTTATTTGCCTTTTTTTTTAAACTTGGATGCTTGATAAATTCGATCGTTTTCAACTGTGATTTTTCCCTCCGCTTTTTTCTTGCCTACATTCCGTTATTCCTGCGCAAAGATAGCGACGTTGATGGCGGCCTCGCCAGCGGCCAGTACTGTAAAGCTCGTTCGCATTTTCGTCGTTTGAAGCAGCTTCTGTTGCTGTTGCTGTTGCATGATCCAGCGCCAGTTAACTGCAAAGAGAGAGTGGGAGAGAAACAGAACATTAGTTTAAGGATGCCACTATATGCAAATTATTGTTCAGTGTACTCAATACTAGTATCGATGAAGTGATATCGGTGGCGATAATCAACAATCAACGAATTCTGTTCATTTAAACGACAATTAACATGTCCCTTATGCTGGTGCACTGCAATTTAGATTGTTTATATTTGAAGTAAAGCAAACTAAATAAATAGTAAATTATAAACAGCGTTGGCAAATGACTCTGGCAGTGTGCAAAATAAATGCTCATTAAATTAAAATACGACCGGATGTTTTTGTGCGAAAAAAAAAACAACATGAATACAAAAAGAAAGAAAACGCGAAACGTTTTATAACACAAACAGCAAAAGACGCACCAGACAGCAGCATCAGCCCCCTAAAAAAATCTCTCAACTTGTTGCAAATTTTTGCAGCGTTTTGCATTTTGTACTTTGCGCTTGCTAAAAGTCCAAAGCACACAGACGCACACCTACACACCCAGGCACACACACAGCCACACCTACATAGAGCGAATTCAAAAGAAATTCGGCGGCGGCGACACTCAGATAAAGCGAATGCTGCGCACTTTTTTCGCTATCAGCTAAATTGCGGCGTGCTCGACATTCAGATGCCTCGCAATAATTGGCTGATGCAAAAAAAATATATACATACATATATATAAAACAGTAACAAAAAGCAGCTTTAAAGATAAATATTTTATAGGCGTGAAAACCCAATTAAAATATATAATTAACTTTGCTGACAAGCGAAAAAAGCGAGCGAGACAGAGAGAGAGAGAGGGAAAAGCGGTTTACTGTAAACTGTTTTAATTTTCTGTTTCGTATATGTTTAAACTATGCAAGCTTGCGCTACAGCTATTAAATTTGGCATACAAACTACTGTTTACAAATGCAAATTCTAGATAACTCGAAAAATTGTGCAATTCACGTTTGTTCTTATATAACAGATAGATAATATCATAGCAAACGTGAGTCTAAATTACATTAGAAAATTTAATTCCAACACACATTTTGTGATTAAAGGCATTAAAACATTGTTAAACTAATAAATTTGTTGATTTAGTGACAAGGCATATAAACGTAGATAAATAGTACAATATGAGACATTTAAGTAGATATTTCTTGGTAAACTCGAGAACTATAAACGTTGTGGCTATGAAATTATATACGCAGCATTCCGGGACAACATTGAAGATGCCAGGAACTAGAAACTATTGTGTGCAGTATTACGTAGAAGGAGCGCATCTTGCACTAAAAATTTCATTCTGAGAATGAAGACAAAGCCGCTCAGATAAGACTAGACTAGTCTACTAACTGCATGTGTACATACATATATATGTAAATATAAGAACCCGCTCTCTAAAAATTATGTGTCAATTTGTATTTATAGAACTAGTCTCTATTTGTAACATACAAACTTTAAATTATGAAATATTTACAACATGACTACACTAATACTTGTTAATATTTATAAAGCCATTACAAAAACTAAACACTTTTGTTATTTTATACAGCATAAATGTTTGGCCTTTCAGATAAATTGCGATTCCTTTTAAGTTTGGCCTGTAGCAACAACAACAACAACAACAAAAAACTAAAAACAATTTAATTAGCCAACAAATCAATTGACAACATTCTTTGTGCTGCGCTCATTATTATTTGCTTTCGGCCAATATTATGGACAAAATGCACTTATAAGCATTAGTTTTTTAGTCGAGGCCTAACTAACATTTTTCCCAGACCAAAAAAGAAAAGCTAGCAAATAGATAGAAATAAAATAAAACCACCCACCAAAAAGGGCAAAAAGCAAAAGGCGCAAAGCTGCGACTTCGACGAACTCAAACTGCAATTACCGCAAACAGACATGACCATATATTTATATATATATATATATGTATATAAATATATAATATATATGTACATATATATGTACATATAGTATATTTAACTTATACGTAACGCATAGGCTATATAGGAGAGGCGGCTTTGGCTGCTGCTGCTGCTGTTGCTGCTGGCCAGGCTACTAAAAATGGTCCGGCACACACCAACACACACACATACACATACACAGACGTCTACACATATAAAGAGGCGCGTTAAAATGCCCAGACAACCAAATTTAGTAACACAACAACAACTAAAGCAACGCCAGCAGCAGCAACAACAACAACAACTACAAAGAGCATCGCGTAATGAAATCAAATAAAAAGAAGCAGGAAAAAAAAGTAAGAAAAATGCACGCCAGAAAAAGAAAAACCAGCAACAAAGAAGGCAAGCAGAACCAGCTCAGTTGAAGATCTCTTAAACATCTTTTCTTATTTTTTTTTTTTTTTTTCTTCACTTCACTTCAGTTCAGTTTAGTTTTTCCTGTGCTTCAAAGAGTTTTCCACACATCAAAAAAATGCACAGGCCAGCCTGTTGCAGTCGAGCGGGCGTAATAGACTGCAGCGCACTTGTTCAGGCACTTAAGAGGTTTTTTTTTTAGAATTCAGTGAAAACTATTTAATTGATACTAAGACAAGACTGAAACTGTAAGAAACATAGTTCTACATGAATTCGGATGATTTAAAATTAATACTTAAAGAAAATACTTAAAAGAAAATATGTAGACACAAATACTAGGTAGGGCAGAAATACATATATCAAAATTTAATTATTTAATATTACTTATTTCACGTCATTAAGACAGGCTAATTCCTGAAATAAGCCAATATACCCTTCTTTCTTTTCCCATCAAGTGGAAGTACATTTTTTACTGCAACTGCAGACTCTATGTTTCTGCTCTATATACATATATGTATGTGTGCATACATATATAGTAAAGTTGTTTGCTGGCGAGCTGTATTTGAAGTGCCTTTTGATTAGTTTTAGTTGCTAGATCGATAGCAACGATAACGATAACAGTACGAATTGGCCTCAATTTTGTTTGGGAGCACTCCCCCTAACTGAAGTGTCGAAAGTCTGTTCTCTCAATTAGATAATTCTGTTTTTGTTATATGGTCTGCTTCCCTTTCTCTCGAGGAGTCATAGAGCTGTTCTAGCACCCGATAGTACTCGATGCAATTATCTAATCAATAGGTTTGCACTGTCTACGATCGCAACTACGATCGTTGCGGCGGTATCTACAGAGGAAATCATACATATACCTACGTACATTTATACCCATTTTTTATATGAAATTTATTGAGCAGTTATGTTGAAAAACTTGTTAGTGGTAAATATTTGAATTGCCCGTGCGGCAAGTGTTTGGGTGAGAAAATTAACCAAGTTTCCAGAACAGCTGAACAAGCTGTTTGTTGACTTTGCGTCAGGCCATTGATAAAGAGGGGGCAGTAAAATAGGGTTTGGCTTTACGTACAAATAAACTCTACAATTATCTATCGAGAAAAGCCCTGAGCCTAATAGATTAATACTAAACCATCAAGATAGAGAATAATATATATATTAATAATTTATAGTCACTTAAAAAGGGTTTTGAGTAGCTTTTCTCTATCCGACATGTAAATTCCACTTTAATATCTATTGAAAACAAAAGATAATTATTAAATATTTATAAAAAATAATCAAATATTCATAAAGCACATCAATCCAATCCGTTTTCAACTGCTTTTTTTTTTTGTAGACTTAAGTTTATCTAACACCTTTGACACGCTTTCAATGAAACTATAGATCAGCGAAAGCTGCTGCGGGTGGCCGCCCATCAAAATCGATGGCAGTTTGTCTATCGATCAACAGCTTGAGAAACACAAAAAAAATAAACACTTTTTTTTTTTGTTTTAATATAAATTAGTTTGGTATTGTGCGACAATTTTCACACACCAATCAGCGACGATCAGCTCGCTAATTTTTCGTCGTTGTCTAAAACTGGCGTCCACCATTTTGAATTGATTTGCATGCATAAAATGCTAACTAAATCGCATATTGATTAGCATAAGTTCTCCTCAAATAAAATCGAGAGACAGAGTGAGAAAAAAACCCCAATGTAAGGGCAAAACCCACGCCAATCAATATTAGTTGTTGTTTTTACATTTGTTTTTTTATTTTTTGGTATTTTTATTGTTATAAGTATAAGATTTGTTGTTTCAAGCTTTCGCTGTGAACTCAATTCTTTTTTTTTTTTCTTTAATTTTTGTTGGTGTTCGACAATAACAAAATTTACGTTGAGCAAATCAAATGCAGATTTTATTGAGATTTTTAGTTGATTTTCGTTATTGGTTTTATTTTTTTTTTGTCTGTTTTGTGATCTTCTTTTTCGTTGCTGTTGTTGTTGTTGTTGTTGTGTTCGTCAACAACTCCCGCACAATTTATTAGATAACGGTACGAGCATGGGCGAGTATTGTCTTCTTATGAAAACGACAAAATGTCGACGTTGTTAGCTGTCGATCGCGTTGATATGATAATGCCGCACATAAATATACAATGGACGGACCTAAAACACATGCGACATATGCCGTCTGTATATGCATATGTGTATCTGTATATGTATAGGTTTTCGATGTGTGTATTTGTATCTTAAAGATCGTTAGCTGCACAAGAATAACATCATTTGTCATGAGATTCGAGAGCAGATTGTGGCCGATAGATGAAAGAGGTGAGAGCGAGACAGCAACTGCGACAGCGATACATAGTGAACGGAAACGACATTAGTTTTTGTTTTAAATTTAATTTAAATTTATATAACGCTCTTTTTAATGTGCTGCTCTTGTAACATTTGGTTTTTAACATTTTTTTTACATTTTACTTGGAGCTGAGGCTGCATTTTTATTGGTCTTAATTTTTACCTGCTGCCTGTTGATTTGCTTTTTAACATTTAAATTGGTCATTTTTCTTGTTGTTGCCAGATTTTTTATAAAATTTTATTTCATTTTTCTGCTGGTTCGGTTCGTTTCTTGTTGTTGTTGTCGCCCACTGCTTGTTTTTTCTGGTTTTTTATGGTCATGTGTGTGTGCGTGTGTGTGTGTGTGTGATGAAAACGCTTCGCCCAAATGTTATTTTGTTGTTGTTTCTACTTGTGTCTCTTTTTCGTTGTTGTTGTTGTTGTTTATTGCCTTTTGCCAAATGAATAAAAATATATACAATATTTGTGTGCGTGTGTGTGTGTGTGACGTTTGTCGTTGGCGTAAAAATACCAACAAAAAAAATGAAGCAAAACCAAAATAAGTCAAAGCACATGCTGTGGGCGGTCAGTAATTTGAGTTGGAATATGCTGAGGTGGGCTGCGGCGAGGTGAAGTTGAGTTCAAAGCAGCTGCAGGCTGCAGCATTGCCAAAAATTGTAGATGAAGAACTACAGTGGTGAGCATCCATCAAATTAGAGTTAAATTACACAAGGAAAAAGATAACTCGATTTTCTTATTCCTAAATATAAATTTATTCATTAGTAAGCATAATTCGCTTTTTTTTTTTTTTAATTTCATGCGCGTCTCTACTGCCTATAACGGTTAGCAATAAAATATATCTCACTTCATAATTCTGCCTGCATTACTTTTATTTACATGCGCGAATTGGTCATAAGATGTCTGTAAATATTGACTGCTTTGATAAACATTAAAAGTCAAGGTATTTATGGACATTTTTATGTACATATTAAAGCAACAAGTCAAAAGGTGATATCCAACCAAGTTCCCAATAAGCCGCTGCGCCACATCCGGCTTATACTGCAAATGTAATCAATTGAATTTAATTGCTTATAAGCTGGTTCGTAAAAGCATCAGCAACGACTACGACTACAACGACAACTACAACTACAACTACAAAGCTGATCAGTTGTCAAAGTGAACGCTTATGCTAGTACTTAAAACATGCATGTATGTACACAGATGTGTATGTGTGTGTGTGTCTGTGTGTATCTTGCATGTCTAATTTGTATGTCTCTCTTTTTAGTGTAATCGATTCGTTTCGCCGTGATCAAGCAGCTATTCAAAGGCACATAAAATTTGCTCGTTTCCATTACACCCCACAATTTGTCTCTCTCACAGCACTGTGCAGTTGTTGTTGCTTTTTCTTTTTTATTCTTTTTCAACTCAGCAACAGCAGCGGCGGCTAACAGCAAGAACAACAACAGCAAAAGAAACGGCAACAAAAATTGAAGCTGTGTTTGTCGCGTGGTCTGCGGAGTCCCTCTGCACACTGCGCTGCTCTGCTCTGCTTGCACAGTTTCCCTCTCGCTCTCTTGTATCTGCGCGCTGTGATGCGTGGGCACGAGAACGGAAACAGCGCGCAGTCAGCGTCGGCGTTGTCTGTCGCAGTTGACGTTACGTCAATGCGAACTCAATATATATAAGTGCTCGTGTGCATGTGCGTGTGTGCGTGTGAGTGCCTCTGCATATTTGTTTGTATTGGCCTATGGCTTACAAAAACAACATAAAAGGTAAAATCGTTGCCTATTGCCGCGCTGTCTGCGGCAACTAATTAGGTAACGTGCCAGCTACAACAGCAACAAGAACAAAACCATGATAAGAGCAGCGCAGTCGCTGCGCTGCTACAACGACGCAAATAGCAACATAAATTTGCGCACGCACACACATAGAGACACACTAACAACAAAATCCAATAAGAAAGCAACTGCGCGGCCTGCCAGGCTGTCTGTGCCAGCGGCTGCTCCGTCGCGCTGCTTTGTTGTTGTTGTTGGTGCTGGTGCTGCTGCTTTTGTTTTTGTTTTTATTTCGTGTGTTTTTTTTTTTTTTTTTTTTTTTTTTTTCAAAAA